ATGAGATTGCATACTTGGGAATAATCAATGCAAGTGATATTGTTGTCACAGACAAAATACTTGTTCGTATAAATATCTTCATATGATTTTGTGACAAATGTTAGGTATTCGTTATTGGCTATCGTCCCTATTCTATTTTGATATTGTCCTGGACAAGCCTCATATCTAGGGATATTTCTCGATGGACAAGAGGAACTGAAACACTTGTCTGCACAACTAGTGTACAAATATTGTTCTCCAAACATGTGGTCACAATTTTGAAGAATGTTTGGCAGGATAATCGTTGTATTGGTTCCTCCGTAAACGTATTTATTTGAAAATCTAAACGTGCTGATAGTGAAGCAATGATTTCTGAAGTTTTTAGTGTTTTTTATCCCCTTTATGCAATATGATAAATGCTTTGTCATGCTTTTGTCAGTTGATAAAACTGCTGTGGACAGTTTCGGTTGTTTGCGGGATTCAGAGCAGATCTTATTTTCATTTCCGCATGTTTCAACTCCATCGCATAGTTTATTAAATTCCACATATCCAGGGTCACCCCATGGACAAAGGAACACATTTTCGCACTTGTCGTTGCTGGTAACAAATCGTAATGATTTGTTGCTCCCACAAGTAGGCCAACTGTCATCTTCGTCGATTCCATTCAAACAGTCCTTAACCCCGTCTCTTAACCAAGCTAGAGGTATTGGGAGTTCCCTTTTCTGGCCGCCGCGTCTTTCACACTTCTCCAGTGTTGTGGTGTTGCATATAAGACCAGTTTCATCACTTTTATCATTGCAGTCTTGTTGACCATCACACATTAGGTGCCTGTGAACAGTACACTGAATAGAGGTTTGTAAGCACTGGTTCTCAAAGTTATCATCACAAATTGCCTTTGCACCATTCTCATAGCAGGTCATATATTTTGATACAGAGGACAAGTATCCATTAACAAGACACCATACCCCTACTCTGGCGGGATCTGAACAGTTTGTTTGTTCTGAAGCAGAATCACCGCAGTACGCGTTGAGATAGTTAAACACTGTACATCTTGTAAATTTGTGTACTGGTACTGTAACTTTAGTCCTGTAAATATGTTTACAAGTGTACTGTGTTTCATTAGTAACGGTACACTTAGCTTCGTCCTCTCCGTTAACACAGCTCTCATATCCATCACATATTGAGCGTGGTGCTATGTAGTTTACAATTCCTGGTTCACGCTTAACGTCACAATAGATACCGTAACTGTATCCGTTACATGTAGCCTCATCTTCACAGTTGTTTTTATCACACTCATCATTACAGATTTTGTTGGACGCTATCTTTTTCCCACTCGGCATAGTTATCATTTCGCCGCATCCCTCTTCATCTAGTTCTGTATTGACACAGTCAGGTTGTCCATTGCAAATTGAATAATCATGTTGTAATGTGTTCCTGATGTTACCCAATCTAATCTTACACATAAATCCTCCACAAAGAATGTTGCTATTTGTTATCTCCACATTATCTACTGTAGTGAGGTGACTACTGCAGGCTTGATAATAGTGCGGATCATTTGAACATAAAGCTGACACACCTCGCCATGAGTCCCAATAATACTCCGCTGTGTTGTGGCACTTATACAATGTCTTACTATCGCTCGGTCTCGGACATACCTGTTTCAAAAATCCTCCGTCTTCTGTAAAACTGCACGATTCTGCGAAGTGTTTTCCATTAATTTACCCAAAACAAAAATTACTGTCTTTAAACTGATGTAGTAGTCGATTTTAATTTGTATTCGTAATAATATAAGTGATATAATTACCTTGGATAATTGAAGTTGGAACTTCGGACCAAACTATTGATTTGTATGTGCCTGTGGTAATTGTTGGTGTCGTAGTACTACTACTCTGTGGTGATGAAAAACTCTCTGCTTTACCAAGTTTCAACAGAATCAATAATGTCGCAAGTTTCATTGCTCCGTAATCTAAAAAATATTTTTGCTAAGATGATATTGAAAAGTGATTGGAAATTAAAAGACATTCCAAACCCACCTCCGTCTAATCTAAAAGCAAGCTCACGAGTGAAACGTAGACAAATATTAACACATATCCCCGCAAATGGCATTTCAATTAAAATTCCTATTACTTGCCGGTTATAGTTTTCGCCAGGTCCTGAACAGCTTAGTCAAAGATGCAAAATATAGAGCAACCTTTTGACGATTCTTCTTCATTTAAAATGAATTTCAACTTACTATTATTATTATAAATCTACATTTAAAAACGTCAAAAGACCGACTGTAGCGGTTTACCAGAACATCTATACAGCGTGTATTTAAAACTAATAGGCTTGGAATCTCAGTAAGAGCAGATGCTTGTGAAAACTTAACGATTAAATGGTACATCATCGTTCTGTAACATTACATTGAGATCCATGATGTACTTCCCGTCTGTTGAATGTAATTTTTGTTGTTCCTTTAAAGGAGGAACTACAACTCAGCAAGCGCTCTGTTTAGTCCTGAAGGGACTGTTGTATAATCAATAGTGATAAATTATAAATAACAGTAATAATTAACTTAACAATAATTGATAAATAATTAATTTAATAATAAACACCGTCTAACTGCAAGAAGCATCAGGACCCATGTGCTAAGCTACTTAATAAATTTATCGCCTCTGCCGGCCAACAGAATATGATAGCAAAATATAAAGAATTAACTGATGCTAGGAATCTCAGTAAGAGCCCCCCCTGTGCACGTGACGATTAAATTGTATAGTCCACGTGCCGGGCATTATCTTGTATTTTGTGGTAAAAATAGTCCTTTCCTTGCGTTAATATTATTAGCTGGCGAAGTAATTTGCCCTCGTAGTGGTCGTTAGGATAGTTCCAAAGGATGGTTATGAAATTTGTAAACCATTATCTCACTGCAAGAACAATTTGAATCAGGACAGATGGTGTTGGTCTCCTCCTGAAAATTATGATTTTATAATATTTTCCTATCCTTCGTCACCCTCGAGCGAAGGGTTCTTTACCGATAGTTGAAATTCGACATCTAGCGTCATCTAGCGTCATTTATTATCAGGGCGAAGTAATTTGCCCTCGTAGTGGTCGTTAGGATAGTTCCAGAGGATGGTTATGAAATTTGTAAACCATTATCTCACTGCAAGAAGAATTTGAATCAGGACAGATGGTGTTGGTCTCCTTCTGAAAATTATAATTTTATAATATTTTCCGATCCTTCGTCACCCTCGAGCAAAGGATTCTTTACCGATAGTTGAAATTCGACATCTAGCGTCATCTAGCGTCAGATGACGCTAGATGACGCTATAGCGCTAATTAGCGAAAATGCCGCCAATTGCATGGCACCCTTCCAATGTCGCCATCTATAAGCTCTGGATAACGCTATCTAGCGTCATATAACGCTAGTTACGCGACACTGTCGCCAGGCGACAGCTAGCGCTATTTTTATAGAAAATCCGGCCTTTTTGTGAGCGACATCTAGCGCCATCTAGCGCTATATGTCGTGACGACATCTGACGCAGCGACATCTAGCGCTAGATAGCACTAGATAGCGCTATCTAGCGGAGAATGTCGGTTTGCGACAGTTCACGCTATCTACTCCTATCTAGCAGGGACAAAAGAAAATCGCGATTATTTTGGCCAAAAATCACGATACCGCGATTTTTTGTCATTTTTATAACAGACGACACATAAAATTTGTCGCAAAGAGGGGGAAAATCGCGATCCCGTACATGCCGCGATTTCCTTTTGTCTCTGCTATCTAGCGCTAGCCGCTATCTAGCGCTAGATAGCGAAGAATGTCGGTTTGCGACAACTAACGCTATTTATATATCTAGCGGGCAATGTTGCATGTCGGATTGCGACAGTTAACGCTAGATAGCATTAGATAGCGTTAGATAGTGACTATCAAAGAATACTATTAGTTTTCTCCTTTTGACCACGGCCATTCTAGTATTATTATAAAAACACGTAAAAGTCGTATCTTTGATTAATGTTCTAAATACTAAAATATCAGCATAATTCAATAATTTAATAAATGTTCTAATTATTTTAAAATAACATAGCATTACAATCAATACTTTAATTCAGATTCATAAATTGTCCGTTATTTCAGACGATTAGTTTTTTCTCCTTTTTTGTTTTACCTTTTTTATCTTCTTTTAAATTTGGTTTTATAATTGTTAAATGCCTCTTTTAAAAGTTTGTATCTTTAAAACAGTGTTCATAATAATCAGCAAAAATAATAACGATACTAGTGCAGTGTCTAGTAATACCTTATTCAAAATCAGCCTTTCGATCAATGGTTTTCCAAAAAGTTATAAAAGAAATTGTGGGAATTTTTTTGATAATTTGAATAAGTTATTACCTTAACCACTTATAATTTAATGGGATAATCATCACTCATTATAAGTAAGTGTTTGTAAAGATAAGTAATCGAATCGAGATCATAATAATATAATATCAGCGTCAAATATACTTTATAAGCATGGAAAGAACCCCAATTCATTCGACCTTTTGTCTATATTATCATGAATTTATCATAAAATATCCTTCTAAGTACTCTGTTTTCTATTTACAGTGCTGGTCGTGGCTTTTAAAGGTATAAGCACGCCCAAATCGCAATAAAAGTTTGGATGGGCTCTGAAAGCAATCCACTCCTCCATTAAATTTACATATGATAATCATCACTTTTAACTTTCATAGTCAAACATTTCGTTCAAGATTTCTTGTTTTTATCTCCCTAGTTTTAGTTTGCTCGAAGGTGGTGCCAGTCGAAACTCGAAATGTAAAATTTCCTCTGATTGTGAATGTGATGTGCGATTTTCCTTACCCCAGATCAGTCTCCCAACAATTGAAGTCTTGCAGAAGGATGACGTAATTTATAACTAATTTTGTAAATGTCCCATAGCACGTCGTTACACATAGCCTCCAATACCTGATCACGTGACACGTGATATGCACGTGCGCGTGATATGCACGTGACATGATGACACGTGATAAATATTAAACCCCTCAGGTGCAATGGGAGGAAGCTCTCAGGAGATTGAGAACAACAGTGACGACGACAGTGGTTCCAGCCATATGTCGGTAGAAATTGGCAGCTCACATCCTAGCGAGATTAATGACCAGGTCAGTCAATGGTATTAGTTTTAGTTAAATATTTAGTGAAATTAGTAAAGCATTGTAATAACGTTAATGTGGGTCATGAATATTCGTAATTTCTATTGACAGCTATTTCCCTTTTGAAGTTAACAACAGAAACTGCAGTTTAGTGAGAAAGTACCTACAGACTATCGTCGCAGCATCTAACAGCTTATCATCTTTACATATTTATTAGTTTTTAATGTTAGTTATACTTATATTAAACAAAGGTGTAAACTTCCAGCTGAACAGACCTGGGTTAACTTAGATTTCGCTCAGGTAAATATCCACGGATCGAGAGGATCCACTCCGACCGAGTTCATAGCCCGAAAACACGGAGTAGAGCCGGAGGTACTGGCTGAACGTGTTAGAACTGTACTCAAATTCATGAACTCACGGTAAGTGGAATGCGATGGTTGGTTTAATATTGATTAAATAGCATTATAACCCGGATCTACTGAATAGTTTGATGTACAAATAGCAAATGATGGGTTCCAACTTCCGTTTATTTTCTTGATCTATTGACATTTGACAAGATCGACCATAGTAACTTACGATACAAACTTCCGTTCTAGCTTTCACTTTCGTTCTGAAGGTAGCAACCATTGTGTGATATCATATCATTAATAGTATCGTTCAGAATCTTAACAATGTACCTTTTCTCTCTCATGACAACTGCTTCTTCTTCTACAGAGACCAGAGACCGTTGTGGAACTACGAGCAGATCACTCCGCAGAATCTTAACATCGACAGTGTTCATCTCATGCACTCATTTCTAAACTCGGTAAATTATTGATATTTATACATTATTAATACTTTATACAATTATTAATACTTTATACAATTATTGATACTTTATACATTATTAATATGTACTTTATACATTATTGATACTTTATACATGTGTAATATAATGATGATTTATAATGCTTTTGGACTCGAAGGGAAACACACAACGTAAAGCTTGAAATTTTCGTAAAACTGAATCATTAGAGCCTCAAATTATTTGTTATATAGTAGTGTTGAAACTGATGATTTATACACTATACAGACTGTTTTCCTGTTCTGTCCTGTATTTTGATTTCTGTCGCTTAAATTTATTTTAAGGCGTATCTTATTTGTCGATGTTATTCAGGTTTTGTCTGTGTTTGACGCTCTCGTGGACATAGAGCTGAAAAAGGAGTTTTGTAAGGAAACCCTTAGTTGGGCGGTTCATTGTGGACAGAGACACTACGCTGGAAGAAGTTTCGAGGTTCGCCAAATGTTTTTATTTGAATTTTTGTTGTTTTTATAAAGAATCATCATGCAAAATTTGTACGTGGCGGCATACATACATACAAAAAAATCAAACATCTTTCAATAATAATAGAAATATTGCTTTATGTTTGAATATGATGACTAAATTCAAATGACGAAATAATTGATAAGTTGAATTTTCACTTTTTGATGTCCCTTTGAATTTATACTGTATGTACAATCTTTGTCACCCTTATTCTACATTTTGTAATACCCCATCCCACTCAGATATTCAGGTGTTTACAAACAGAACTAAGCAGTGAGTTCTTGCTAGAGGTTCTCCGACGCCTCATGGATCATGTTTGTGACATGGACGACTCCCAAACGGTAACTCTTCAATACATGATTTAAGTTAGCAATTAGAATATCAATATGACGTATGCTTTGTAAATATAAGAGGAACGTTTTGACTCAAACTGAGCTCAATTTTTAACCACATGCCAATTGGGTTCCCAATCAGCCCATTTACAAATGACCTCCTCAAACCATTATTGGTTTGATTGATCACTTGGTCGCCAATTTTTGGGTCACCCTGTATTATGAGGTTTTGAATTTTGATATACTAGGCAATGTTTCTTGTGCGAAGAAGAAAAACAACAGCACTATAATATTGTAAGTGATATAGACATCTTAAATTTACTATATACAGTAGTTGAGTAGTAGTCTCAATAGTCTTTATAGTCTATACAGTAAAATTCTTTGGTTCGTCTGAACATCAACCGATCTAACGAATCAAATTGTACATCGAAATTAATTATAAATAGAAACAATTAGACTTTGTCCTCAGTTTTTACTCAAATCGTTAATCCTGGATCATTTCTTCTGCTTTCATTTCATCGAATCCGTATGAATCTTCTGCATCACAAGGAAATTCAATGGTATCATTATCAGTCATCTTCTGAAACTCCTCTTGAATCTTTTTCTGGCAAGATAGATCGAACGGCTCCTTACTTATATCTTCATAGGTCCTAATAATGTCTTCAGACGTATTTCTGAAATGAGAGGTCATATCATCGCTACTGCACACGAAAATATTGTCATCCCTCCCGTCATCAATAGGTTCATAAAGATCGGACACGGAGACAAACTTCTCATAAACTGGTCCGAGAAGTGTAACACCAGGCTGCAGTTCCTCTTCAGGGTTGTCTGTCTCCACTTTAGTAGTCACCACAGCTGTAAACCAGTTGCTGTCACAAAAGTTGTGATCGTACGAGAGACAAACAACATAGATGTTATTCCTCCGGCCAACTTGGTTATGAGGAATGATAATATGACAAGATTTACTGTTGTTAGTGTTTGGGATACATTCCCGGAGTAAACAAATTGCTCGGACAACTTTGCCCACTTTTTTGCTTTTCTCCCATTTCTCAGGAAAGTATGATGGGTCTGCAACAACCTGTTTGCACTTGACCGTTATCCCCCGACAGTTCACACCATTAACTTTGCCATCGTCCCCCAATGCCACCCCCTTGAATCGCTTATCCAGGATCACTTTACCGCCGTGGTGACGGTGTATTCTGGAGAATTTATCTTGTACACTTGCTAGTTTTGACAGAGGGTACACAAACGGAGACCCTGAATTGAGGGTGAGAGATTTGGAGTAACTCTTATCCTGTTGATTGTATCTACGGCAGGTTGGTTGAGGTAATCATCATCTCTGTGAAGAGCGATGCAGTGACCAAGCAAATTTTGAATGTCAACATCATCCAGGTGGAACTTTTCATAGAGTTGACACATTGTAATATTGGTGATCCAATTTTCGGGGGTATATTTCCTCTAGACTAAGCACGAAATAGAGGAAATTTTGGAGGGCATGTTTCTTCGAGTTTTCCACTAAGAGACTCTCTGTTATCTCTACTTCAGTGAACGGAACTCTGTGGATCTCACCACCTATGTCACCTGTCTTGTACACGTAATATCCTTCAATATCCTTATACTCCATTCCTACTGCGTCCAGATCAAGCAGTTTAACCAACAGACCGTCCCTCAGCATCAACTTTGGAACCAGGTTCACGTTCCAGTTACAAACCTCCCCGTATTTGTACGAGATATCGCACTCCAAACTGCCGAAATACTCGCACAACTGCTGGAGGTTGAGGGTCGGACTGCCACCGCCGGGATAACCGTTCCTGTCGAGAAGCAGGACCTTTTTGTTGCTGATAACGGAGAGAAGTCCGCTTAGAATACACTGTTTGGGACCTGTCCCCTAGGATCACAACATCGTACTCCTCCGCCATTGTGGGGAAACTTACAGAACTAACAGAAACTTACAGAGACTTACTGAACTGCTTTACTGTCGGAAACAGAAATAAATGGAACCAAATTTTTGCTTGAGTGTATAGCGGTATGTCGGGTTTATGATCCGTTTACAAAGCTAATTAGTAGATCGATCACTCCATAATGCAAATATTTGCAATGTAATGATTGAGTATTCAATTTCATGTCTAATACGGTATCTAAACCGGTTTCACTGCCACAAAGACGTCGATGTAATCGAAACCTGTTTTGCCTCTGACTATCGTTAACGATTGAACGAAATGAAATACCACATACCGAAATGAAATACCACGTACGTATAGCCCCCTCCTATGCGACATTCGTGTGAGATAATCAATTCCAGAGAACCTAAAACATCTCGAAGACCTGACCCGTCGCGAGATTACGAGATTGGAGGCAAATCATTTTTATCAAGACTGGCATTCTCTAATCATGAAAACGTATTGACCCATCTAGAAATCACCCTACCATATTTTCACATTTCCAGGGTTACGTAGTGGAGTGTCTGTTGACGCTGGAATGTAACATCCTGTTACTCTCTGAGCGGATACATTCCGAGTTACTACCTCAGTTCAAAAGGTGAGTCTTCTTATTATATTCTTCTTCGTAGGGGGCTGTGGTCATTATCGCTATAAGATAGAGCATGAACACTGTAAGCCCTGTGCTTACCCCGGTAAAATATTTATTATTGGAGAAAAACGTCAAACTTTGTTTCTTCATTATCATACTATTATCATCCTATACACTGTAAAGTTTGTGGTAGGAAATGTTTAAACGTTTGTTAATTTAATTATGTGGATGAAAAACTAGAACGATCAGTAGTGTTCTAGCTGATTCAATTGACTTTAATTTGAAGCAAGAATGTTTTACCAAAACCTAACAATTGGATGTTATGGACTTTGGATAGCGTATATATGTTAACCCCGGTTGTGCTTTCCAACACTGATTTTTGGATTTTTAATTTCAATAGCAAAGTGTGATGAGACCGACAGAATATATATAACTATATAATAAATAGCTGTATTTGATATTTACCACATCATGAGTTGTAACCCATGAGTTACATCAAAACGTGTAATTTGTAACGTGAGAAAAGTAAAATAACGTGAAGAAGACCACAACAGGAGCGATGCCACAGCTGTAACAGCGCAGTGCCACCACCTCCCCCAGTGCTCCCACCCACTACACACCTACACTGGTCCACCCCTGAGTTCCTATATCTGGACCGTCTGCTCCGGGACTCTACCTTGCCACGTGATAGGATACATCCGGGAATGTTTGAGATACGAGATATGGATATCGAGGAGATTATGTTCGATATTTTTAAGTACGGTCCCCCAGTGATGTTGAACTGCAAACCTTGTGCTACCTTGTCCATTGTAACGAACTTTGCTTCGTTTGTTCAAGAAATATAAATGTGATATTTTGTATCCTCGTTTTATCAAGAAAATATGTGAAAATATGTGGAAATAGGTTAATCATATTATGTAACTCTACTTTCATTACAAAGTAAATCCCGCATCCTTTTTTAAATCGTCATTTCGTACTGTGATTTTTGATGTCCGTGTTGTATTTAATGTGTTATTGTATCAATACGTTTTCAGAACACCCTTCCACCAGTATTCAAAGTTTATGAATCGTTAATAATTTCAGTTTAGCGGGAAATAGAATAATACCCCGATGCAGCACAGTGCCCTCAAAACTTAGTACCAGTACCAGGTCTGCGCAGTATCACTGGAATATGGCCTCTGATTATCACTACTAGTGTGATTGACTAGTGTGATTGACTAGTTCGATTGACTTTGAATTCTTATCCCTCAGCAAAACATCTTTCTCGCCAAATTAAGCGACGTTTAAGTGGACAAGTGATTTTAAGTGGACAAGTGATTTTTTTGCATTATGGTAGCAATAGCTTATAGAGATGGCAGTAGATAATTAAATGAAAATGTCTTATAGAAAAAAGGTGTTTACCGAATGCCCCCTCCCTTCATATTCAACATTCTAACCCGATTCTTCCAGTAAAACGGATACGATAAAGAGACGCCCAATAGACACCCGGCGACACTCCAGCTGGGACGTTTTGCCACCAGGAACCAAGGTCACCTCCAAGCAGCACCTTCTGGGTGGTAGCACCGCTTCCGATGAAGTCAGGTTAGAGTTTAGGCATTTTTTATCAACCAAATTATTTCCATTTTTTGAGGATGTTAAATAATTATCAAACTTTTGTTCTTTTCTTGTTAATTGACTGGTATGTCACTATAGATATATCTTGTTATTGTTAATTAACTTTAAAATCTTAACCCACTAAACAACAACCACTCAAGTAACATTAATGTAAATAACATTAATGTAAATAACAGTAATGTAAATAACATTAATGTAAATAACATTAATGTAAATAACATTAATGTAAATAACATTAATGTAAATAATATAACATTAATGTAAATAACATTAATGTAAATAACATTAATGTAAATAACATTAATGTAAATAACATTAATGTAAATAACATTAATGTCAATAACATTAATGTAAATAACATTAATGTAAATAACATTAATGTAAATAACATTAATGTAAATAACACTAATGTAGATAACATTAATGTAAATAACATTAATGTAAATAACAATTTACAGAGGACGCTCGTCCAGTGAGCACAACAATCTCCGAGTTAAGGCGTACAGTCTGACCAGCTTCAGAGACTCATTCTCTCAGCTAGCAATAGAGTGCCTCCCTCAGGTTAGTGCCTCCCCCAGCTAGCAATAGAGTGCCTCCCTCAGGTTAGTGCCCCCCCAGCTAGCAATAGAGTGCCTCCCTCAGGTTAGTGCCCCCCGGCCCCCCCCCCCCCCCCCCCCCAGCTAGCAATAGAGTGCCTCCCTCAGGTTAGTGCCCCCCAGCTAGCAATAGAGTGCCTCCCTCAGGTTAGTGCCCCCCCCCCCCCCCCCCCCAGCTAGCAATATAGTGCCTCCCTCGGGTTAGTGCCCCCCCCCCCCCCAGCTAGCAATAGAGTGCCTCCCTCAGGTTAGTGCCTCCCCCAGCTAGCAATAGAGTGCCTTCCTCAGGTTAGCGCAAGTGGGATTAAATACTTGGGTTTTGCTGCTTATAAAGTGCTTCAATTAAGTTGACACGACATAAGATCCGAACAGACCAAATACAATTTACCTTATCGGATGTTTTTTGTCTTTTCGATGATTTTTTCGACATTATATTATATTACCCATGAATCCGTTTGACCTAATGTTAATCAATTTTACACACGACTTTCTTTTACGAACCTTCCCTAATTCCAACAGGAGTTCTCCCTAAAAGAGCTACTAACGGACGACGACCTCTTCGTAATATCCCGTGTATTCTGGTGCTCACTCTGCCTCAGTGAGAGTGATCTAGAACACGAGTTCTCGTTCGCCACACGGCTCATGAAATGCATGTTGGACTGTCTTTGTGTGTCTGATACCTACACGGAGAACTTGTTGGAGAAGGTTCTGGAGGAAATGAGCTGGAATAACTTCCCTGGAGTTATACATCTCTTTCTGAAGGGTGTTCCTACTCTTGGTTAGTCCTGATCTGTTATCCGGTATTTTGGGATGTTTTTAATGTTATTACTCTTTAAAAGTAATGAGCAGTTCTGATCCTCTAACGAATTGAACCAGCCCCTGTCGAATCCGCTATTGATCCCCATTCCGATTGCACAATTAATGAATGATTAGTTTATTAATTAATTAATGAAACTCTTCAATTTATTACTTCCTCCTCTTCAGATCTTAGTGAGCCAACTCTGGAGCTGCTGGCTAAACTCATTCCACTCAGCAGAAAGAAAGCATTCCGAGGGATAGACGACACGGCTCTACCTTTAACCATCCTGTCTTTACTGCCTAAACTTATTGCTTCTTATGATTCGTGAGTTTCTGTGATTTCTTAGTTTCAGCATTCGGAGTTCGTGCCGGTATAAGTGGGCCCTAGCTTTAACGTTTACCTCTATTTAAAAAAAACTTTTACCAGGTAATTCAAATCTAAAGAGTCGGTTGAATATTTTTTATTTATTGCACGATTCAAGAATGAAATATAGACGCATTAAATAATTGATTAATTAAATTAATTGATTGATTAAATACATTTATTTTCACAGGCCAGACGCGTTCTGTTGTAAGGTTGCGGAAGACATATCAATGATTTGCAGAGATTACGAACCTTTAAAAGACCTGGCTAAAGTAATGCAGATGTACATAGAGCATACTTACCCTAGGAACTGTCAGGTATTGTGAAAACTAACAATAATTAATAATTAACAATTAACAATTAACAATAATTAACAACTAACAATGATTAAGTTCTAACTTGTAGAACTTATAGTTCTGCCGTACTATGGTTTTTAAACTTCACATCTTCTTTGTTGTCACCATGCCATAACTAAAGTTTTTGATCGGTGATTGTACGTGATCAGTTAGTTGAACTAAAGTTGTGTTCTAACTACAAACCATTCCCACAGATGTGGATAGGAGCCGTGTGTAAGTACATTAACGACGCCTACATTGAGCACTGCCCGGACTTCCTGGTCTACCTGATAAACGTCCTGCAGAACGGACCCCATGACTACCATGAAGCTATCCTGAAGATAGTGTATCAGAGTATCAAGCATATCTTCCTCAACCACCACTTCATACCCATACACAACCCCAGGGTACTCCAGGTATGTGTACTTATTTCTCTAGTGTGACGTCATGACACGTGGTGTGACGTCATGACACGTGGTGTGACGTCATGACACGTGGTGTGACGTCATGACACGTGGTGTGACGTCATGACACGTGGTGTGACGTCATGACACGTGGTGTGACGTCACCACTTCATACCAGGGACAAAAGGAAATCGCGGCATGTACAGAATCGCGATTTTTCCCATTATTTGCGACAAATTTTATGCAAAGTTTAATGTATAGTCTGTTAAAAATCGCGGTATCGCGAATTTTGGCCAAAATAATCGCGAAATCCTTTTGTCCCTACTTCATACCCATACACAACCCCAGGGTACTCCAGGTATGTGGTGAATGTACTTTTCAATCATTACGGCTAATTCTGTGGTTTATTTGACTTTTTTGGTATGTTTCGGCGCTATATATCTAGTTTCTTATTTTAAGTAATCTCAGTCCAAGGAGATATTAGGAAATTTAATTGAAGGAAATGAATTAACAACTAGCAGCACTTTATATTTCTTTCAGGTGTTAGCTAAACATGAGTTCAGTACAACGCACGAGGATCAGCAGATACTAAAGCTTATTATCTCTCACTCCAGCACCATCAGGTTCAACCATTCGTGCAGTTTTAATTAGAAATTAATTGATTACACTAATTATAGTTCTATTCTTTTACTAATCTAAGCTTGCAGTTGCTGCTGGAGCACATCATTATTTACTGACATGGCTAACACAATTCAGCTTGCCGGTGGACACCGCTAATATTGACCACTATCGAGCCTCTCTAGGCGCATTCTCTCTCTTCGAACATGGACTACCTGAACTTCCTGGCCGGTCCATTCAGGTAACTAACTAACTAACTAACTAACTAACTAACTAACTAACTCACTCACTCACTAACTCACTAACTCACTAACTCACTAACTAACTCACTCACTCACTCACTCACTCACTTACTCACTCACTCACTCACTCACTCACTCACTCACTCACTCACTCACTCACTCACTCACTAACTAACTAACTAACTAACTAACTAACTCACTAACTCACTAACTAACTCACTAACTAACTAACTCACTAACTAACTAACTAACTAACTAACTAACTAACTAACTGCTCATATTTGTTTGTGCCACATTATGGCAGATGCAGGTTTTGTTAAAACTAATTAAAAAAAAGTAAATCACCAAACATTAGCCACTGGTTAAGTTTAATTTAAGAACTCTATAATCTATATTATATATTTAAAGTCACTATTCTGACGGTATATTAGAACTAGACAGAAACAAAGTGTGAAGGGCCTGAACGGAACCCCTCGGTTTCAGTTCCTTGTTTAACACTGAGAGTCTTCATCTCATGTCATGAATTTTTGGACAGTAATTTCCACTATAGCCTCAAATGTAATCTTGTGGAGTTGTGAAGTTATATCAAAACTTAAACCTCTATATCTATCCAGTTCAAGGTAGACTTCAAATCAGACTCCAGCCAGGAAGGCACCATGTCCTCGTCCACCTCGCAGCAGTCCCTAGCTAACTCTACACACAACCTGGTTCCCAGCACCAACTGGAGGCGACCTACTGTGTGTTTTAGGAAGTGCAGAGATCGCATTGCTAGCTTGCTCAAGTGAGAATGTTCAGAATGTTGTTCAAATTTCAAAACCATTTATTCGGATCAAGTTATCATCTATAAAGTAGTTACTTTTAGATGTCTTGTATGTACTAGGGGTAATTCGGGGATGAAGGTACGCTGTTAAATTAATTCGATAATTTGCATTGGTGCATATACATTATACGAAATGTATACAATGTATAAAATTTATTATACATTGCTTATTTCCTGATCATCTTCATATCAGGATATCCGGTGACATAGAGCAGACAAACTCGCTTGTGTTCAGTGCAGCTAGTGATTGTGAGATCTCTAAAGATATGTACCAGAGCACCAGTTCTTCAGATAGTGTTTCCGGAATGGAACCCAGCATTCCTCATGCTAACGTTAACCAGTGAGTGTGTGGTTAAGACTTTGTCATTCTGCTCACTGGATTATTGATAATGAGTATATCAACCAATTAGTTAATTGATTGAATAGACATTAAACAAATCTGGATACTGGTGAACCACATTTTTGACTGTTATGCAGTTATGTGTAAAAAAATATAGTTCACCTCCCCACCAGTATCAAAATTACAGATTGATAAAAATGTATTGACCATTTTTCTACCTTTCCCCACTTTTTTCCACATTTTTTCCACTCCAGGTCTAGTTCAATACCCAGTATACCGGATGACACAAGTCTGGCCGGGGCACTGAACCAGTTTGATTTTCTGAACGATGAGAACACTGCAGATGAAGGGAACGATACTGACTCTATCAACAGCAGCTGGAGGGGTGGACTCAATGCTTCAAGTGATTACCTAACACGTGACCTAACAGAGTCCACAAGTTATTTATTGTCGAATATCGATATGTTTAAATCCATTTTTGTGAACTGTTTTTATGTATGGATTACTATGAGGGAAATTTGTTTTGTCGACTGATAAGTTTCATCTGGACCTGTACCTGGCAAGTTCTATTCTCAGCCCTCAAAAATCCCCATCCATCTTGGATAATCCCGGTTTTTATTTCTTCACACTGCTTACCACCGGCTCCCCCCAATCACCAGGTTACCAGGCACATAGCAGAGACAGTAGTGTTGACTCGCTGGGAGGGGGCCGTGAAAAGACCCGGTTTAAAAGTATGCCTCACATGGAGAGAGATGAGCTGGATACTCCAATGAGACGGGCTGTCTCCACCATGTCTCCATCCAGACATGTTTATCCTGGCAAGGTAGATATTGCCATTGAGAGTGGATATAAAACTTGATTACGCTATTTTGTGTCCTTGTAATAATTTTGTGGCTGATGGTATCAGATCCTAAATGCTCGAAATCTCCGGTATCTTTTTGCTAGTTTAATATTACAATGTATCACGCTTCACAAAAACTCCAACACAGTCACAGTACGATGATGACAACATGACTACTGATTCCGAGTTGTCTGACGACGGACAGAACAACACTTTGAAGCGACCCCGCTCCTCGGCTTCGCCTCATTCGCGTCTCTACTCAAAACAGGTGAAGAGTTGTTTGCAGCTTTTTAATTTGGGTTTGATATAGTATGGGAATTTTAACAAATATAAGGCCTCATCTGTGCGAACATTTGTGGCATTTGATTTTCTACAAAAACTTGATTTAAAGTTTTATATCTGGAATGTAACTTCTTGTCTCCCTGTAGAAAAATAAGATAGAGGAACATGAAGACGATAGTTCAGACACCTCCAGCCCGGACGGACCTGACTCAGCCACACCTAAACTTGAATATTTTGACAGGTTTACTTCACTCCGTAACTTAACTGCCTAAACTAATTAAACTAGAATAATAGAAATATTTCAAATAGTTTACTTCATTCAGTAACTTTTTTGTTGAAATATTTGGATTAAAAATAGATATCGATACTGATAGGGAGCTGGGAGGTGAACCATGTTTGTTTTGACACGTGATTCTGTGTTTTGGTAAAAATATCCAGATTTGTTATCAAACAGAACTCGCAAAATCCAATGCAATACTTGTTATCTAATTTTATAATTCACCAAAAATACTCCCTCAGTTCAAGTTCAGATTTAGATGAAGAAGGAGGTGAAGGGCCGATGTCACCTCAAGCTCCGGACTTATTTGTCCTACCCCCCTCTCCTAACTACTGCAACTCTGTCGAGTTAAAATGGCTTGACTCTGTCACTGACTTGGTTTGTGCTTAGTTTTACCTTTTGCTTAGTTTCCATGTGAAGGGGAATTCAAATTTACAGCAATAATATTAAATTGTTTTTAATTAGGTAGGGGGGGTCCAAGGGGAACTTTGGGGAACTTTGGGAAAGTCCCCCAAGATTTCTGAAGTTCCCCAAAAAAAAGTTCCCCAAAACTCCCCAAAGTTCCCCAAAATTCCCCAAAATTATTCAAAATTATTTAAAATTATTCAAAATTATTCAAAATTATTCAAAATTTCTCTAATATACATTAATACCCATTAATGTTAACATGTATGTTATTATAAGGTATAATCTTAACTTACTTGTTGATACTTGCAGCATGATAATTTGTTTGGCATTATAATTTTTTTGGGGAACTTTGGGGAACTTTGGGGAACTTTGGGGAACTTTGGGGAATTTTGGGGAACTTTCTGAAGTTCCCCAAAAAAAAGTTCCCCAAAATTCCCCAAAATTATTTGTTTCATTGATAATTTTTTGGGGAACTTTGGGAAAGTCCCCCAGGTTTCCTGAAGTTCCCCAAAAAAAGTTCCCCAAAACTCCCCAAAGTTCCCCTTGGACCCCCCCTAGGTAATTACCCTTTAAGAATAAGGGGGCCGGGGGGTCTTCATCAAAATTCTCTTGAAATTGACTTTATAGTTGTTTCTGGTAGAGGGGAGTGATATCTACCAGCTGCTTTTGGTCCCATGGAAAAATATTGTTCCTAGCCGAAATTATCGCCGGTCCAAGGTCAGCGCTTATGTGTAATTGTAGTGCGCGAGCGATTTTCAATCGCAAATTCTGAAAATCGAGTCGGTTTTTTACGATTTTTGGAGGTCCAAGATTTTCAAAATTGAATAAAAAAATTTTAAAGGCCTATCTCAAAATTTTGTATGATCCATCTCTTCTAAATGGTCCCTAGAACATATCCTGAAAGTTTCAGGGTGATTACTCAAAAAATGTGGGAGAAGATAGATTTTTAGACTCGATTTTCAGAAATTGCGATTTAGAATCGCTCGCGCAATACAATTACGCATAAGCGCTGACCTTAGACCAGCGATAATTTCGACTAGGAACAATATTTTTCCATGGGACCAAAAGCAGCTGGTAGATATCACTCCCCTCTACCAGAAACAACTATAAAGTCAATTTTGAGAGAATTTTGATGAAGACCCCCCCGGCCCCCTTAATTGATTTCCAGGCCTTAATTATCAAAACTGTTTGTTGTTGTATCATTGCAGGACTAATTCTAAATTATGTATCCCTTGTATTATACCACATGTCTCACAGATAAGGAACACATCAAAAGACCTAGACTGTCACATTATTCTTATCTTCCAACGAATAGTCAAATGTCACCTCCTCTTTCTCCGAGAAACCCTGACCTCCTCTCTTGATGGCTTCTCTCACGCCCTCCCCGAGGAGATACTATCCGTCTTCAACCAGTGTCTCTCCACCTTTAACATCCTAGAAGTACCCTTCATTTTCATAGACAATGTTCTGTTGAAACAGGAATATGTCAAGAACAAGATCCAGTATCACATATTGGAATCCCGGGATAAGATAGAATATCTGGCAAAACATCAGCTCATCACCGCCCAAGATATCAGATCTCTGGCTGGACACTCCTCTGGCGGTCCCAAAAACATGTCGAAACAAAACCTCAAAGCCAAGCGGAGGATAACTCAAGTTTGTATGGACCTCCAGGCGCTTCATTTTCAATATTGCTCGCTGTACAGGACGTTTTCAAATGTTGTGGACCTGGTTTGTGAGTTGAGGAAGGAGGAGAGTGCTTTGGATTTGTCAGATTATGTCAGTGATCTTGCTAGCAGACTCTTCCAGGTAAACATTTTCTTATAATAATAATAATAGAAAATTTAAATTTAATAACACTACTTTTAAGATAAAACTTATACTCAGCAATGTTTAAACTAGTCATCCCAGAATTTAACTTTAATACTAGGTATTAGGAGGTGTTTCTTTATCACGACGATTCACGACCACTAACCGGTCTTCTCATTCCGAATTATCATTCCTGTTATCTCTACTAACTACTCCAACTTACACCACAATTTAAACTCGAACTATATCCCAAGGCTCAAATGAACCCTGACATAGCGTCCTTGTCATCGCACAGTGACAAGTCCCTCCCTCGCGACATCTTCACTCTGGATCCTCTACCTGAACAAGGAGTAGATTCAGAACAAGCTCCCTCCCCTGGCACCTCTCCCAGATCCAACGGTATTTTAAACGTTTTTACTTGTTATTTTAAATATTTTAGTTGTTATTCGGGGAAATTGGTAGATCACCGACCGGCTATAAGCCGGTTATAAGCCGGCTATAAACCGGCTTATAGCCGGCTACAATTTTTATAGCCGGCTATAAGCCGGCTTATAGCCGGTTAGTAGCCGCTTACATTTGTTGTTGAGCGACGGCTATTAGCCGGTTATAACCCGGCTATTAGCCGTTTAGGTATCGGCTATAAGAAATTCAGTGAAAACGGCTATTAGCCGGTTATAAGCCGGCTATTAGCCGTTTAGGTATCGAAAGTGGTTATAAGCCGGCTATAAGCCGGTTATAAGATATTAACTCAACTTCATCGTACTGAACGATAGTCAGGAGCCGGCTATAAGAAATTCAGCGAAAACGGCTATTAGCCGGTTATAAGCCGGCTATTAGCCGTTTAGGTATCGAAAGTGGTTATAAGCCGGCTATAAGATATTAACTTAACTTCATCGTACTGAACTGAGTTAATATCTTATAACCGGCTTATAGCCGGCTTATAACCACTTTCGATACCTAAACGGCTAATAGCCGGCTTATAACCGGCTAATAGCCGTTTTCACTGAATTTCTTATAGCCGGCTCCTGACTATCGTTCAATACGATGTAGTTGAGTTAATATCTTATAACCGGCTTATAGCCGGCTTATAGCCGGCTTATAACCACTTTTAATACCAAAACGGCTAATAGCAGGCTTATAACCGGCTAATAGCCGTCGCTCAACAACAAATGTAAGCGGCTACTAACTGGCTATAAGCCGGCTTATAGCCGGCTATAAAAATTGTAGCCGGCTATAAGCCGGCTTATAGCCGGCTTATAGCCGGTCGGTGATCTACCAACTGGCCGTTATTCGAAGAGAGATACATATAATTCATCGCGAAGAACTGTGCTGTAAAAACGTTTCGTGATGGGATACTTTCCCATATCAATGTTTTCTCTCTAGCCACTATACATTAAAATTAAACTTACGTTCCCCAGGATCAATACCAGAAATAAAGCACACCAAGCTGTCACGGTCACGTGACCCCAGCAACGAACGGTCACGTGAACCCAGTAACGAATCTTCCAGAACGCGAGGAAGCGAATCTTCCAGAACAAGGGAGAGCAGTATCGGAGCTCCTTCTGCCGTTACACTAGTAGTGGAGACAGTTCAGACACCAGAAGTACCCGTAGCGTCTGTATTACCTGTAGATGTCCCTGTGATTAATATTGGGTCTGCTACAGTGAACAGACCTAATCATAAAGGTTAGGCTTTCTTCTAATAGTATTTGGCAGTTGTGAATGAATATACATGATATACATTATTATTATGTACATAATTTTTGGCATTTTACTCAAATCAGCCCCAAAAATATTACCCCAGTCATCGTGGTTAAATATGAACTTACTGAAATTTAAATTATTCTTATCATTTACCAAATACTTTGAACCGTACATCCTACAGATAAGAAGCGTATGTCACATAGACGGGGTTACAGCGAAGCCAACATTGAGATGTTCAAAAGTGTTCAGTTAGAGTTCACTGAAGGTATCAACAAGTCGAGTGTTTCTCAGTATAATCTCAACATCAACCCTACTGCTACCTCTCCTACTTCACCTCCCAATATGGTAATTATCTTAATTATTATCTGATAATATCCTAATTTTATTTTACTTCTTACATCTATTCTACTAGATTTAACAAGGTTTTTGTATTATCATGTAAGTATCTATTTGTAAATTTTTCAGAACTTTAAAACTATTCTCGGGCATTCTCGATTCAGCGTCTGAGTCTTCCTGTGTTGATAGAATCCATCTATAATTAAATCCGAATTATTGACACAAACATAGCCCAAATAACTCCTACCTATCCTAGGGACTAACATACTCGGACTCAGTGAACAACATCCACCTGTCCCAAGTAGAATTAAGAGTTGAGAATATCGGACAAGATGGTGTGTCGGAGGATGATACGAGTTCCGTGGTCTCTGAAATTCCTCCCCCGCTCACCCCCGGTAGGGAAATAGCTTGGTTTTTACCAAGGCCCTTATTTGTGTGGGTTAAAAACACAGAATTATAATTCCGGGTGCAAAATGTTTGGCAAGTTTCCATAAACGATATTTTATGATCGGCGCCGATAATCGCTTATTGAGCGCTTTCTCGGCGCTTTTTTTTTAAAAACCGTTTATAATCGATTTTTTTACGATTATAAACGGTTCAAAAAAAATCGCTTATAATCGATTATAATTGATGTCATAATTCAAAAAAGCGCTTTTTTTATTTAAAAGCGCTTATAAGCGCTTTTAAGCGCTTACTAGCGTCGCTGAGCGATTTGAAAGCGGTTTTCCAGTAGGATTGGCGCCAAAAACGGGTGGATAAGCGGTTGGCCGGATAAGCGATTCGTAGGCGCTTTTTTGAACCATTTATAAGCGATTATAAGCGCTTATAATTGGGGTGCAATTTAGCTGTTTGTAAAGCGCAAATAAAGCGCTTATAAGCGCTTTTAAAATTGAGTCAGGAAAACGCTATATTACATCTTATAACCGCTTATAATCGATTATAAGCGTTTTTTTAGAAATCGCTTATTACGGCTAATTCATCGCTATTTTACCGCTTTTACCGCTTTTCCTATCATCCATGGCCAGGTGAGCAGGAATTAAAAAGCGCTTATAAGCGCTTTTTCGATGCTGCCCCTAACCTGGTCGGAACGGGGTAGTGCCCGGAATTTAAAAGCGCTTATAAGCGATTTCTCAATTCCCCTTAACCTGGTCGGAACTTGCATGTGCTTTTCTGAGCAACCTGGGGTGCACCGGCAGAGTCAGGATTTAAAAGCGCTTATGATCGCTTTTCTACCACTTTTCCTATCACCCATGGCATGGGTTGGCAAGAATTATAAAGCGCTTATAAGCGTTTTTCAATGCTGCCCCTTTTTCAATGCTGCGCTTATAAGCGATTTCTCAATTACCCTTAACCTGGTCGGAACTGGAGAGTGCCCACTTGCATGTGCTTTTCTGAGCAACCTGGGGTGCACCGGCAGAGTCAGGATCTAAAAGCGCTTATAGGGGCTTATGATCGCTTTTCTACCGCTTTTCCTATCACCCATGGCCTGGTTGGCAAGAATTATAAAGCGCTTATAAGCGTTTTTTCAATGCTGCCCCTTACCTGGTCGGAACGGGGGAGTGCCCGGGATTAAAAAGCGCTTATAAGCGCTTTTTCAATGCTGCCCCTAACCTGGTCGGAACTGGAAATCAGAGTGCCCGCTTATAAGTGCTTTTCTGAGCAACCTGGGGTGCACCGGCGGCGGCAGAGTCAGGATTTAAAAGCGCTTATGATCGCTTTTCTACCGCTTTTCGTATTACCCATTGCCTGGTTGGCAGGAATTAGAAAGCGCTTATAAGCGCTTTTTCAATGCTGCCACTAAACTGGTCGGAACGGGGGAGTGCCCGGAATTAAAAAGCGCTCATAAGCGCTTTTTAAATGCTGCCCCACTTTTTAAATGCTGCCCCACCTCTTGGTGACACAGAGGCGGTACTTGTGCGAAAAGATGCTTGCAGCCTGGGCACGGATCTAAGCAATTTTATATTGGGTGTCAAAATTTTGTCCTCATATCTGACGTCGCGCGTGGACACTGCGGGCGCGCGCACGAAGGCGAGTTGATGGATATGTGCTTTTCTTTACTTGTTTTTATTAAAATCTAGACACTTATTTTACTTCGGAGTATTCCAACAGCCATATTGTTACACAAGTGCAACCAGCCAATTACAGGAAGCCGAAGGATTTGTTTTTAGCCAGTGACGGTTAAGGGGCTGCATAGACCACTCACGATCCTTAGTTGAATGTCAACGACACTCACCCCACGACCAGGCAGGCAGTGGGATTTGAACCCGCAACCTCACGATTGCAAAGCTGGCTAACCAACTGCGCTACCTGGCCGTTAAACAAGTGGCGCGAATTTTACCAGGGGACCCCATGCAAGCTAGTATGTTCATAGGCATAGCCTGTCGTAATTAAACCCTCTAAAACGCGCAAATAGGCGTGTTTATGCGATTTTACAATCAAATAATCAGATTTTACAATCTAACTCAGCGCGCGGCTCCTGTAGCGCATACGTCACTTCTTTTTTATTGGTAGTTGGCGTGCACGTGATCTTTTGCGCGGCTGTAATTGGTTCTGAACGATCACGTGAATGCTAGTCCAATGAGCATTCGCACTTTTTTAGGGCGATGAAAGTCGTAATTCACTCAGCCCGAATAAAGATTTGGCGGAATGCGGAATGACAGGCTGAGCGCCGCCCAGTAACGCGAATTCACCTAACCATATGCTTTCGCGCCGCTGCGGGGGCGCTTGTTTCACAAGCGCCCTGTCACCCGATCTTGAGGTGACGTACGATGCACTTCGTTAAACAAACCAATTAATACGTTGTGTTCTCTGTTTCCCGCTAGGCTCATTGGACCAGGTGAGCTTGCATGCTTGTGAATGTGATAGTAAGTACAGCTGTACTGTAGTTTATACCTAATTACCCCTACTGCAGAAACTGCAAAGTGCGGGAAATTTTGGGAACCAATATATGGTTGCCAAAATCGATGGAGGGTTGGCGGCTAGATCAAAGCTCAACGGCTCTGGATTAGGGTTGTCATACGTTGTATGACCCGCCGCGCACGAAGTGCGCGGCTCCCCCTGTATCGTCGAAGACGATACAGGGGGTCATAGCCGTTTTGCAAACAATAACAAACCAAAAGGGAACTCAGTCGGTTCCCTCCATAATAAAGCGCCGCGCCATCCGTATTTGTGTTAAATATTTGTGTGTCGCCAATACGAAATGCTTGCGGAGAACATGTTTGTGGCTTTAAGTTGGATCCAGCTTTATTAATTCTAAATTCGATTTACGAGTTCTTCTCGTACAATTGCACCTGAGATTTCTCGCAAATCTCGCAATTCGGATGACACCCACTATAGTGAAGCGACCGTGGGGGTCACCACGTGATACAAGCACTACCTATCTGAATAGAGCAACGGAAGCACGAAGGCACATGGTTAGGTGCAAAATAATCGAACATGCAGAAACTCTCAGCTTTATTGCATTGTATATCATGTGTACGCTTATTTTTGTATAAAAACCGGCTCTTGCTAATTCGCTCGCCAAAAAATTTCACGTGACCTTGGTTTTTATGGTTTTGCAGCCGTACAAAACAATTTTACATAAACCCTAATCCCAACCATAACCCCGAAGCTATCCATAACCCGCATACCACAACCCAAACACTAACATGAGCCCTAAACAATAGGGGGTGCACGATAAAAATAAACTTGCTCGGATTTTTAAAATTGTTGTACCATTGTTTTCTAGAGACTGTGAGAATTTTCACAGTACCAAATTTGTTATACCTTTTTGGAATGATCAGTGAGTTTCGCCTAGGTGCCATATTTGATGGTGCGCGGCTTTTGGAGCAAAATTAGGTGTAAAAGTTGCGTAATTTGACGAAATTCGTTGATTTTTGTCGTATTATTCTATCATATCTTCGGTTCCTGAACATGAATCATGCTGAAAATTTGTCAGAACCTTACAATCATACTTAACTACCGAACCTAATTTAGTTGGGAGAGATTGGCCTTGATTAAGAGGTCTAAAAATGACAAAATAGGTATAAATCCGTTGATAACTCAAATTCTGACCATCGAAATTGATCAAACTAATTTAGTTTCAGTAGAACACAAGTGTTTACGTACGCTGACCAAATTTCAACAAAATTGTTATATGGGAAGTATTATAACTTTTTGATTGTTTCCAAAATAATGTGCTGGCCGAAATAAGAGCTTAAAAACCATTCAATGGTCAGTGCGCGCGTCTTACGGTCGATGGCGCACTGCCTATAACCAATCGAAATCATGTTTTACTAGCCTGTCACGTGACTAACACGGTTTTTGCCCATGTAACTCTCCAGGGAAATATTTTTACCCTACGTCATGGCGGGTGATTCGGGATCAGCGTCCAAAAATACACCGATTTCGTAGGAGCAACTCAAACGCACAAGCTGGCGCGGTTTATTTGTTGCAGTTTTACTATCTAATAACCAAATTTTACAAGCTATCTCAGCACGCCTGCACGCGCGCGGCTTTACTAGCGTATATATACATTACTTTTTTTCCTATTGGTACTCAGCGTGCACGTTTGTTTTTATGTCTAGGCAGTGCGCCATCGACAATAAGACGCGCGCGCTGACCATTGAATGTTTTTTTAGCTCTTATTTCGGCCAGCACATTATTTTGGAAACAATCGAAAAGTTATAATACTTCCCATATAAAAATGTTGTTGAAATTTGGTCAGCTTACGTAAACACTTATGTTCTACTGGACCTAATTTAGTTTGAGCAATTTCGATGCTCAGAATTTGAGTTATCAACGAATTTATACCTATTTTGTCATTTTTAGACCTCTTAGTCAAGGCCAATCTCTCCCAACTAAATAAGGTTCGGTAATTAAGTATGATTGGAAGGTTCTGACAAATTTTCAGCATGATTCATGTTCAGCATTCAGGAACCGAAGATATGACAGAATAATACGACAAAAATCAACGAATTTCGTCCAATTACGCGACTTTTACACCTCATTTTGCTCCAAAAGCCGCGCACCATCAAATATGGCACCTAGGCGAAACTCACTGATCATTCCAAAAAGGTATAATAAATTTGGTACTGTGAAAATTCTCACAGTCTCTAGAAAACGATGGTACAAAAATTTTGAAAATCCGAGCAAGTTCATTTTTATTATATCGTGCACCGCCTATTATGTCCACGATTGATTATGAACAAGTACGTGAATGCTGGTCACGCACACACTAACTTTCAATGAGCACCGCACTTTTTTCAGACGTCGTGATTCGCTCAGCCTGACTAGAGATTCCTTGGAATGACATGAACAAGCCTGTCATACTCGTTGACAGACTGAGCGTGGCCCAGCGCAATAATTTAATTTCATATACTATATTTTTCTTTTGCAAGTTCTGAATGTGAAGTGTGTATGACTGATGACGCAGCGCGCATCGACCGCCACCAGGACAACCACCACCATTAACAACATATATATAAACGCTTGCAAGCGCTTTACAATTTCTGACAATTATTGTCGGAGAACTTTGCCGCGCCGTGCACTTAGCTTTCTTGCTTGGCTTCTAGATCGCCAGTCAAACAACTATGTTTAAATCCATGTTGATAAATGATCGATAAATCGGTAAAAACCAGCAATAAAAAGTGATTGTAATCGCTTATAACCGCTTTTAAAATCCTTAGGGGCAGCATTAAAAAAGCACTAAGCGCTTTCTAATTCCTGCCAACCAGCCCATGGGTGATGGGAAAAGCGGTAGATAAGCGATCATAAGCGCCTATAAGCGCTTTTAAATCCTGACCCTGCCGGTGCACCCCAGGTTGCTCAGAAAAGCACATACGAGTGGGCACTCTCCAGTTCCGACCAGGTTGAATGTTGAAGGGAATTGAGAAATCGCTTATAAGCGCTTTTTAATTCCGGGCACTCCCCCGTTCCGACCAGGTTAGGGGCAGCATTGAAAAAGTGCTTATAAGCGCCTTTTAATTCCGGGCACTCCCCCGTTGCGACCAGGTTGGTTTCTAATTCCTGCCAACCAGGCCATGGGCGATAGGAAAAGCGGTAGAAAAGCGATCATAAGCGCCTATAAGCGCTTTTAAATCCTGACTCTGCCGGTGCACCCCAGGTTGCACAGAAAAGAACTTATAAGCGGGCACTCTGATTTCCAGTTCCGACCAGGTTAAGGGGAATTGAGAAATCGCTTATAAGAGCTTTTAAATTCCGGGCACTACCCCGTTCCGACCAGGTTAGGGGCGGCATTGAAAAAGCGCTTATAAGCGCTTTTAAATTCCGGGCACTCCCCCGTTCCGACCAGGTAAGGGGCAGCATTGAAAAAACGCTTATAAGCGCTTTCTAATTCCTGCCAACCAGGCCATGGGCGATAGGAAAAGTGGTAGAAAAGCGATCATAAGCGCCTATAAGCGCTTTTAAATGCTGACTCTTGACTCTGCCGGTGCACCCCAGGTTGCTCAGAAAAGCACATGCAAGTTCCGACCAGGTTAAAGGGAATTGAGAAATCGCTTATAAGCGCTTTTAAATTCCGGGCACTACCCCGTTCCGACCAGGTTAGGGGCAGCATCGAAAAAGCGCTTATAAGCGCTTTTTAATTCCTGCTCGCCTGGCCATGGATGATAGGAAAAGCGGTAAAAGCGGTGAAATAGCGATGAATTAGCCGTAATAAGCGATTTCTAAAAAAACGCTTATAATCGATTATAAGCGGTTATAAGATGTAATATAGCGTTTTCCTGACTCAATTTTAAAAGCGCTTATAAGCGCTTTATTTGCGCTTTACAAACAGCTAAATTGCACCCCGATTATAAGCGCTTATAATCGCTTATAAATGGTTCAAAAAAGCGCCTACGAATCGCTTATCCGGCCAACCGCTTATCCACCCGTTTTTGGCGCCAATCCTACTGGAAAACCGCTTTCAAATCGCTCAGCGACGCTAGTAAGCGCTTAAAAGCGCTTATAAGCGCTTTTAAATTAAAAAAAGCGCTTTTTTGAATTATGACATCAATTATAGTCGATTATAAGCGATTTTTTTTGAACCGTTTATAATCGTAAAAAAATCGATTATAAACGGTTTTTTAAAAAAAAAGCGCCGAGAAAGCGCTCAATAAGCGATTATCGGCGCCGATCATAAAATATCGTTTATGGAAACTTGCCAATGTTTTTATATTTTTATAAATAGATGCAGCAAAATGTTTCCAACTGAAACATCATTGTCTTTTCCTTACTAATAACGACACAGGAACAGAGCCTATTTCTGAGCAAGACTTCCCTCTACCACCTCCCCCGAACGAAGCCTACTACACATCCCCCCAAATAGCTCGCAGAGAGATAGAACGCGGAATCCAACATGCTCCCAGCACCGGTAAGGGGTCGTAATCACTTTTTGGCAAATTTGTAACCCCGTCCCCCCTCCGACCCTTCGTAATCATTTTTACACATAGCTATTGTGTCAAAATCACACTAGCGTAATCATTTCGAAACCCCCCCCCCCCCCCTCCCCCTCGGCTGATTGCGTAATATGTGAAGATGTGAGCGACCCCTAAGTTTCGAAGAGTCTAGGACAACTCACTTACTTGGGAATTAACAGCTCACCTTGTTGATCAATTTTGATGCCTAGATCTAGGCTGCGTATTTACACCTGATCTGTTCATGTACTTGCCTTATGTACCCCTCGACCCTCGTTGCATGTATTCGGCACACACTTCTCACGGGTTTCACGACGCGTCCTTATCCGAATTTGGTTACCAAAAAACGACTGTTGTCCGAATTGTAAAGACTATAATATCTTCATGTAATTTTGTTACAGAGTCGATTCCAGAAGAAGAGCTAGACGAGAGCTTGTACACAGAGATGGGAGAATTAAAACTGCTGTCTCAGTTAGAACTGGAAGAGAGAAGATCACGTAAAGGTTCGAGTAATGAGGGGTCGCGTCACTCCCGGACTAGTTCCACTAGTGGACCTCACTCCACGTCATTCTCTTCTGAGGATAGTTGTGAGGTAAGCGCGTCTCTTGAATTTTAATACTCTAAAATAATTGGCTCGAGAATATTCCTGTTTTGTCCATCGAGCGAATAGGAACACATAATTGTAATATTTTAGGTAGTTTATCTAAAAATCAGTAAAAATGTGCCGAAGGAAATTCATGAATACAACAGATCACAACTCCACTTCTACTTAGGTAAAGATCCAATACTTGGAGCACATAATTGTAATACCTCAGGTAAAGATCCCAATACCTGGAGCAGAGCAGGAAATGGTAGACTGCACCCTGACCAGCACAGCCCTGCAACTCTCCCCCAGTAACCAAACCATCACTGGCATGTCCCCCACCATCTACACCGGGATCATGTCATCACTAACTGACTCGCAGTGCATCGTCTTTATTAACGACCACATCAACGCTGTAGCGGATACCGCTGCTATAGAGACCCTGCACCAGGCTCGGTCTAGGTTCGGCGGGTTTTATTTCGGTACTAATGAGTGTGAGGATACGTTGACGCTGGTCGGGATTTTCTGTCAGCACGGGACGATCCCTGGGACAAACGGGACAGCAGGGAAAGTCGCCTTGTGGGGGACGACTTGTGAAGACTTGGTGAAGACCACTCTTATGACTGACACGCTTCATTTAGAGAACGCTATGAAGTCGTTTACTTGAGCTCATTTCACTGATTGAGATGTGAAAGGTTGTGATGTCAAAGTCCAGTAGAAAATTAAGATCGGTGTGATTTGAACGACGGAACCTCAGATTTAAAATTGAGGTCAAGATCACAATCAAACATAAGACTAGCATTGCTGGAGTAGCAAGGACCTTAAAGTTAACTAAATGCTAAAGATTTTTCGTTACTGAAGTCTGTTTTCTGACGTCATAGATAGAATAGGGTTAATTTTTATACTGATTCAGTTTCAAGAAAATAAAATGTACGGCAAGTTGATAATTATGGAATCGAATTAGTGTATAATTAATGATAAATAAAACTAATACCATTGATGTATTTATTTTCTTTTAAACTGTGATTGGAGCTGGTCAGCATTACGAGTTTAAACCAGGCTCGTAGCCAGGGAGAATTTTAGAGATTCGTGAATCTAACTCCCCAAATAGTCAATACCTTTTCTGGCTTAAATACATTTTGTAGGTACAATCTAATTGTTAGATCCGATTTCTGATTTTACATTTTAAATCTTTTGATTGCAAGAGTAAAATAAGCAACTGGATCTCCCTTTGATTACTTTTTGCTTCAGCTCTAGTTCCAACGCCAATTTAAATTCAAGATGTTCAGATTTTTTCACTATTAGAAATTTCACTATATAGAAATTTATCTGTAAACGTAATGATATATTTGTTCAGTATTCGAAGTTGAGTAACTGTAATATTTTGAAATGTTTTCTATCATACACGAAGGTCTTCTTTTTGCCAAGTCGGCCAAACTTTTGTTAAATTTTTAGAAAAATCAATGAAAAATTCATGCATTTTTGTTCCAAAAATTGAATTCAAATGTCAATTAGTTTAATCTTCACTCAATTTAATGACACAGTCTTCCTCATCCAGCAAGTGACTGCTTCATCCTCACATTCATTATGCTTCCATCCATTTTTAACATTTTAATCATTTTTTGTGAAACCCGTGACCAAAATTTTGAGGAGTACCATTTGATAATGATAACACCATTCAGAATGGCAGAAAGTGGACAACAAGATGTGGAAGGGTTCGTTAAAAAAGAAGTATCAGACATCGACACCTTTCAGTCAAGCACAATCATTCTACCAAATAACGCGTCCAAGTTTGAAGATGACACAAAATATCACCTTGACCTCGAAATAAAGACCGAAGATTTAACAGCTGAAAATTTTAAACTTGGAAATGGAACTGCACAATTGTTTTTAAACACTGAAGGAACAAAAATAGAAGTATTGCCAGTGTATAAAGCGGAGATTTGTGACACGACTATAAAAAGTGAACCTCTAGACGGTGAATGTAATGCAAGTCCCAGCTCCTCTCTTTCTAATGATCCTCTGAATACCAACCCTCAAAGCAGTGTGGATATCTCCCAATCTATTAGTATTGGAGATACTGTTCTGACTGAACGCAATTTAAAGAAGTATATGTCGACTCGTTCTGGTGAGAAACCTTATAAATGTGATGTTTGTAGTTACACAGCATCGAGAAGTGGCGCTCTTGCTTCTCACAAACGAAATCACGCCGGAGAGAAACCTTATGAATGCGATGTTTGTAGCTACTCAGCCTCGCAAAGTGCCGCTCTTGCTTCTCACAAACGATTACACACTGGAGAGAGACCTTATCCATGTACTTTGTGTGACTATAGAGCTAGCCGATCAAGCGATTTGAAGAGCCATTTCCGAACCCACGACGGTAAAAAACCATATAAATGTGATATTTGTAGCTACTCAACCGCGAAAAGTGGCAATCTTACTTCTCACAAACGAATACACACCGGGGAAAAACCTTATAAATGTGATATTTGTAGCTATTCAGCCAAACGAATTGGCGCTGTTATTTGTCACAAGCGAATACACACTGGAGAAAAACCTTACAAATGTGATATTTGTAACTACTCAGCCGCGAAAAGTGACAATCTTTCTGCTCACAAGCGAATACACACTGGAAAGAAACCTTATAAATGTGATATTTGTAGCTACTCAGCTGCGCAGAGTGGCACTCTTGCTTCTCATAAACGAACACACACCGGAGAGAAACCTTATTCTTGTAGTTTGTGTGACTACAGGGCTAGCCATTCAATTAGTTTACAGACCCATATGATGAGTCACTCTAGAGAGAAACTTTCCGGGAGTTGAAATAGAACGGTGAATTATAGTCCTCACACGTGTTAATTTGTAGTTATTGTATGTTATAGTTATACTGGATACTGGAACCAAGTGAAATAACAGCTAGTCTTTAATACTTATAGTTTAGAAATACTACTTATTAGCTTGTTTAGTTCGAGCAGAAATGTTATTGACGAAATTTTATTCGCATGCCTTATATTTTTCTTGCTTAATATTACCGAAAATTAACAAGTTTTGAAAAGCTTTACAGACATCATTACTTGATACAATAACTTATTATCAGTTTTATTTTTACCAGTACCACCAATACCATCTGTCTCATTTGACTTGCAAGCATTAAATTTGTAAATCTATTGCTTACTCGTGCAGTATTTAGACAATTTTAAATTGGCTTTGTGAGCCACTCATAAATTACATTGGAGAATATGACTCATTTTTAACCCCCTCTACCATAGTTGCCTTGAGTCTTAAAATTGAAAACCCCTCGTATCACAAGAGGGGCATCAACCTCATGGTTCTAGACTAGTAGTAGTTACATATATAGTAAGTTGACCAAAACCCACCATGGATAGAATGGACCGCTTTCAGTGTCTCTCTTTTTCAAACAAAAGGAAATGATATTAATTTGAATAACCGTCCGCAAATGCAAAATGATACCGAGAATGAAAACGGTTGCTCGCTTCTATATGGAGGTTTTTTCTTTAAAACCTCCACATAAGTATTTCTTATTCCTGTCAACATTGACATTATGAATTGTTTTGAACTAAAAATAAACCTGCTGAACGACTTTCCATGAGCCTTAATGCCTGAAAAACAGCTTCTCCCGTTATTAAATTTAAAGTTAAAGGCTAGACTGTGCTATTGGCTATTTATTAATTGTCATGAATACTTTTATTATATGTGTAAACATTTGGGACCTACTCGTTGATATTTTATCAAACACTTTATTGTCAGAGCTATACAATTGTTTGGTTTTAAATTTTAATTGTTCGTCCTATAAATCAAAATTCCGATCAGTAACATTTAAGGTCGTGACTCAATGAGACAATTTTACTTACTTTAGATTACATCGATTCAAAAATAGATGGTAGTTGAAAAGTAATTACAATAAACGTTACGGTCTGTACTTAAACATCAACTTTATTTGGTAATACTAATGATAACACCATTCAGAATGGCAGAATGTGGACAACAAGATGTGGAGAGGTTCGTTAAAAAAGAAGTATCACTATCAGACATCGACACCTTTCAGTCAACTACAATCCTTCTACCAGATAACGCGTCCAAGTTTGAAGATGATACAAAATATCACCTTGACCTCGAAATAAAGGCCGAAGATTTAACAGCTGAACATTACGAAATTGGAAATGGAACTGCACAATTGTATTTAAACACTGAAGGAACAAAAATAGAAGTATTGCCAGTGTATAAAGCGGAGATTTGTGACACGAATATAAAAAGTGAACCTCTAGACGGTGAATGTAATGCAAGTCCCAGCTCCTCTCTTTCTAATGATCCTCTGAATACCAACCCTCAAAGCAGTGTGGATACCTCCCAATCTATTAATATTGGAGATACTGTTCTGTCTGAACGCAATTTAAAGAAGTACATGTCAACTCGTACTGGAAAAAAACCTTATAAATGTGATGTTTGTAGTTACACATCCTCGAAAAGTGGCGCTCTTGCTTCTCACAAACGAAAACACGCCGGAGAGAAACCTTATAAATGTGATATTTGTAGCTATTCAGCCTCGCAAAGTGGCGCTCTTGCTTCTCACAAACGAATACACACTGGAGAGAAACCTTTTAAATGTGATGTTTGTAGCTACTCAGCCACGCAAATTAGCAATCTTATTTGTCACAAACGAAAACACACTGGAGAGAAACCTTATAAATGTGATATTTGTAGCTACTCAGCCACGGAAAGTAGCCATCTTGCTTCTCACAAACGAACACACACTGGAGAGAATCAGAAACCTTATAAATGTGATATTTGTAGCTACTCAACCGCGACAAGTAGCCATCTTGCTTCTCACAAACAAACACACACTGGAGAGAATCAGAAACCTTATAAATGTGATTTTTGTAGCTATTCAGCCGCGCGAATTGAAACTCTTATTTGTCACAAACGAACCCACACTGGAGAGAATCAGAAACCTTATAAATGTGATATTTGTAGCTACTCAACCGCGACAAGTAGCAATCTTACTTATCACAAGCGAATACACACTGGAGAGAAACCTTACAAATGTGATATTTGTAGCTACTCATTCACGGAAAGTAGCCATCTTGCTTCTCACAAACGAACACACACTGGAGAGAAACCTTATAAATGTGATATTTGTAGCTACTCAGCCGCGCGAATTGAAACTCTTATTCGTCACAAACGAACCCACACCGGAGAGAAACCTTATAAATGTGATATTTGTAGCTACTCAGCCGCGCAAAGTGCCGCTCTTGCTTCTCACAAACGAACACACACTGGGGAGAAACCTTATAATTTTGATATTTTTAGCTACTCAGCCACGGAAAGTGACAAACTGACTTCTCACAAACGAAAACACACTGGAAGTGGAAAGAAACCTTATAATTTTGATATTTTTAGCTACTCAGCCACGGAAAGTGACAAACTGACTTCTCACAAACGAAAACACACTGGAAAGAAACCTTATTAATGTGATATTTGTAGCTACTCAGCCGCGCATAGTGGCACTCTTGCTTCTCATAAACGAACACACACCGGAGAAAAACCTTATTCTTGTAGTTTGTGTGACTACAGGGCTAGCCATTCAATTAGTTTACAGACCCATATGATGAGTCACTCTAGAGAGAAACTGTCCGGGAGTTGAAATAGATTGGTGAATTATAGTCATTCGAAGTCATACCTCACACGTGTTAATTTGTAGTTATATGTTATACTTATAGTTATACTGCATACTGGAACCAAGTGAAATAACAGCTAGTCGTTAATACTTATAGTTTTGAAATATTACTTATTAGCTTGTTTACTTCGAGCAGAAATGTTATTGACAAAATTTTATTCGCATGCCTTATAATTATATTTTTCTTGCTTAATATTACCGAAAATTAACAAATTTTGAAAAGTTTTACAGACATCTTTTAACTTGATACAATAACTTATTATCAGTTTTAGTTGTACCACCAATACCATCTGTCTCATTTGACTGGGAATTAATTGCAGTTTGCAAGCGTTAAATTTGTTAATCTATTGCTATTTAGACAATTTCAAATTTGTTTTGTGAGCTACTCATAAATTACATTGGATAATTTGACTCATTTTTAACCCCCTCTACCATCGTTGCCCTGAGTCTTAAAATTGAAAACCACTCATTTTACCAGACAATTTGGGGGTGGGGGAGGCTTCAACTTCATGGTTCTAGCCTAGTTACATATATAGTAATTTGACCAAAACCCATCATGGGTAGAGTGGACCGCTGCCAGTGTCTCTTTTACAAACAAAAGGAAATGATATTAATTTAAATTACCGTCCGCAAATGCAAAATGATAGTGATACCGAGAATGAAATTAATCGCTCGCTTTTATGTGGAGGTTTTTTCCTAAAAACCTCCACATAACTATTTCTTATTCCTGTCATCTTTGACATTAAATTGGAATGTTTTGAAATAAAAATAAACCTGCTGAACGACGTTCAATGAGACTTAAATTTAATGCCTGAAAAACAGTAAAGGGGCATATTACTATTAGTATGTGGTAATGGTTTGGAAGGTATGTAATGAGGGCAACGGTCGGTCATGCTTGCCAACACTATGATTCCGGCCGTTTTACTTTTAGTTTCCGTGTTCCTTTTAGTAGTGACACAGTCTGTTCATAAACAGATTGAAGGTATGGCGGAATGACAAGTTAAAAAACTGTCACTTTCTAGTTTTGAATATCATCCCAAACCAAGTCTGCAAAACTTCTTGCTTCTGCCGTTATTAAATTTAGAATTATAAAAGGCTCTGTGCTATTAGTATTGGCTATGGTCATTTCTACTTTTATTATGTGTAACTGTAAGTGTAAACATTTAGGACCTACTCGTTCATATTTTATTTTTATCAGACATTTTATTGTCGGAGCTATACTATTGTTTGGTTTTAAATTTTAATTGTTTGTCCTATAAATCAAAATTTTGATCAGTAACATAAGGTCATGACTCAATGAGGCACTTCTACTTGCTTTAGAATTAGATTACATCGATTCTAAAAATAGATTGGTACAGTCTGTACTTGAAAACATCAACTTTATTTGGTAATGATAACACCATTCAGAATGGCAGAATGTGGACAACAGGTTGTGGAAGGGTTCGTCAAAAAAGAAGTATCAGACATCGACACCTTTCAGTCAATTACAATCCTTCTACCAAATAACGCGTCCAAGTTTGAAGATGACACAAAATATCACCTTGCACCTTGACCTCGAAATAAAGACCGAAGATTTAACAGCTAAAAATTTCGAACTTGGAAATGGAACTGCACAATCGTTTTTAAACACTGAAGGAACAAAAATAGAATTATTGACTGCAGTGCCAGCAGATAAAGCGGAGATTTGTGACACGACTATAAAAAGTGAACCTCTAGAATGTGAATGTAATGCAAGTCCACCCAGCTCCTCTCTTTCTAATGATCCTCTGAATACCAACCCTCAAAGCAGTGTGGATACCTCCCAATCTATTAATATTGGAAATAATGTTCTGACTGAACACAGTTTAAAGAAGTACATGTCGACTCGTACGGGTGAAAAACCTTATAATTATAAATGTGATGGCGCTCTTGCTTCTCACAAACGAACACACACTGGAGAGAAACCGTATAAATGTGATGTTTGTAGCTACTCAGCCTCGGAAAGGAGCCATCTTGCTTCTCACAAACGAAAACACACTGGAGAGAAACCTTATAAATGTGATATTTGTAGCTACTCATCCACGGGAAGTAGCCATCTTGCTTCTCACAAACGAACACACACTGGAGAGAAACCTTATCAATGTGATATTTGTAGCTACTCAGCCGCGCGAATTGCAACTCTTATTCGTCACAAACGAACCCACACCGGAGAGAAACCTTATAAATGTGATATTTGTAGCTACTCATCCACGGGAAGTAGCCATCTTGCTTCTCACAAACGAACACACACTGGATAGAAACCTTATCAATGTGACATTTGTAGCTACTCAGCCGCGCGAATTGAAACTCTTATTTGTCACAAACGAACCCACACCGGAGAGAAACCTTATAAATGTGATATTTGTAGCTACTCAGCCACGCAAAGTAGCAGTCTTATTTGTCACAAACGAACACACACCGGAGAGAAACCTTATAAATGCGATATTTGTAGCTACTCAGCCTCGGAAAGTAGCCATCTTGCTTCTCACAAACGAAAGCACACTGGAGAGAAACCTTATAAATGCGATATTTGTAGCTACTCAGCCACGCAAAATAGCACTCTTACTTCTCACAAACGAACACACACTGGAGAGAGACCCTATCCATGTACTTTGTGTGACTATAGAGCTAGCCGATCAAGCGATTTGAAGAGCCATTTCCGAACCCAACACGGTAAAAAACCATATAATGTATAAATGTGATATTTGTAGCTGCTCAGCCGCGCCAAGTAGCAATCTTACTTCTCACAAACGAATACACACTGGGAAGAAACCTTTTAAATGTGATATATGTAGCTACTCAGCCGCGAAAAGAAGGGGGGGGGGTCAACCTCATTTTACCTCATTCGGCCAGCCAAAAAAGGCAAAATTGGGATGAGGTAAAATGAGGTAAAATGAGGTAAATAAATCTAGTTTTCTAAGCCTTTTTTTAGAAAAGGCTTAGAAAACTAAAAGACAATTGGGGGGAGGCATCAACCTCATGGTTCTAGCCTAGTTATATAATTATATATATTTATAACTATATATAGTAATTTAACCAAAACCCATCATGGGTAGAGTGGACCGCTGCCAGTGTCTCTCTTTTCCAAACAAAAGGAAATGTCAATGATATTAATTTGAATAACCGTCCGCAAATGCAAAATGATACCGAGAATGAAATCGGTCGCTCGCTTTTATGTGGAGGTTTTTTCTTTAAAACCTCCACATAAGTATTTCTTATTCCTGTCAACTTTGACATTATAAATTAGAATGTTTTGAACAAAAAATAAACCTGCTGAACGACTTTCCATGAGCCTTAATGCCTGAAAAACAGCTTCTCCCGTTATTAAATTTAAAGTTAAAGGCCCTGTGCTATTGGCTATAGCCATGTTTACTTTTATTATATGTGTAAACATTTGGGACCTACTCGTTCATATTTTATCAGACACTTTATTGTCAGAGCTATACTATTGTTTGGTTTTAAATTTTAATTGTTTGTCCTATAAATCAAAATTCTGATCAGTAAGATTTAAGGTCATGACTCAATGAGACAATTTTACTTACTTTAAGTTTAGATTACATCGATTCAAAAATAGATGGTAGTTGAAAAGTTATTACAATAAACGTTACGGTCTGTACTTAAACATCAACTTTATTTGGTAATGATAACACCATTCAGAATGGCAGAATGTGGACAACAAGATGTGGAGAGGTTCGTTAAAAAAGAAGTATCAGACATCGACACCTTTCAGTCAACTACAATCCTTCTACCAAATAACACGTCCAAGTTTGAAGATGACACAAAATATCACCTTGACCTCGAAATAAAGACCGAAGATTTAACAGCTGAACATTTTGAACTTGGAAATGGAACTGCGCAATTGTTTTTAAACACTGAAGGAACAAAAATAGAAGTATTGCCAGTGTATAAAGCGGAGATTTGTGACACGACTATAAAAAGTGAACCTCTAGACGGTGAATGTAAATGTAATGCAAGTCCCAGCTCCTCTTTTTCTAATGATTCTCTAAATACCAACCCTCTAAGCATTGTGGATATCTCCCAATCTATTAATATTGGAGATACTGTTCTGTCTGAACGCAATTTAAAGAAGTACATGTCGACTCGTACTGGAGAGAAACCTTATAAATGTGATGTTTGTAGCTACTCAGCCTCACAAAGTAGCCATCTTGCTTCTCACAAACGAACACACACTGGAGAGAAACCTTACAAATGTGATATTTGTAGCTACTCAGCCGCGCGAATTGAAACTCTTATTTGTCACAAACGAACCCACACCGGAGAGAAACCTTATAAATGTGATGTTTGTAGCTACACATCCTCGAGAAGTGGCGCTCTTGCTTCTCACAAACGAAAACACACTGGAGAGAAACCTTTTAAATGTGATGTTTGTAGCTACTCAGCCGCGACAAGTAGCAGTCTTACTAATCACAAACGAACACACACTGGAGAGAAACCTTATAAATGTGATGTTTGTAGCTACTCAGCCACGCAAATTAGCAATCTTATTCGTCTCAAACCAAAACACACTGGAGAGAAACCTTATAAATGTGATGTTTGTAGCTACTCAGCCTCGCAAAGTGGCGCTCTTGCTTCTCACAAACGAACACACACTGGAGAGAAACCTTATAAATGTGATATTTCATATTTGTTGCTACTTAGCCGCGCGAATTGAAACTCTTATTCGTCACAAACGAACCCACACCGGAGAGAAACCTTATAAATGTGATATTTGTAGCTACTCAGCCACGCAAAGTAGCAGTCTTATTTGTCACAAACGAACACACACTGTAGAGAAACCTTATAAATGTGATGTTTTTAGCGACTCAGCCAACCGAATTGGCTCTCTTATTCATCACAAACGAACACACACTGGAGATAATCAGAAACCTTATAAATGTGATATTTGTAGCTACTCAGCCACGCAAAGTAGCAGTCTTATTTGTCACAAACGAACACACACTGTAGAGAAACCTTATAAATGTGATGTTTGTAGCTACTCAGCCAACCGAATTGGCTCTCTTCTTCATCACAAACGAACACACACTGGAGATAATCAGAAACCTTATAAATGTTATATTTGTAGCTATTCAGCCTCGCAGAGTGGCACTCTTGCTTCTCACAAACGAACACACACCGGAGAGAAACCTTATTCTTGTAGTTTGTGTAACTAGAGGGCTAGCCATTCAATTAGTTTACAGACCCATATGATGAGTCACTCTAGAGAGAAACTGTCCGGGAGTTGAAATAAAAACGGTGAATTATAGTCATTCGAAGTCATATCTCACACGTGTTAATTTGTAGTTATATGTTATAGTTATACTGGATACTGGAACCAAGTAAAATAACAGCTAGTCTTTAATACTTATAGTTTTGAAATACTACTTATTAGCTTGTTTAGTTCAAGCAGAAATGTTATTGACGAAATTTTATTCGCATGCCTTATATTTTTCTTGCTTAATATTACCGAAAATTAACAAGTTTTGAAAAGCTTTACAGACATCTTTACTTGATACAATAACTTATTATCAGTTTTATTTTTACCAGTACCACCAATACCATCTGTCTCATTTGACTTGCAAGCATTAAATTTGTAAATCTAATGCTTACTCGTGCAGTATTTAGACAATTTTAAATTGGCTTTGTGAGCCACTCATAAATTACATTGGAGAATATGACTCATTTTTAACCCCCTCTACCATAGTTGCCTTTACCCTTAAAATTGAAAACCCCTCGTATCACCAGGGGGGCATCAACCTCATGGTTCTAGACTAGTAGTAGTTACATATATAGTAAGTTGACCAAAACCTACCATGGATAGAATGGACCGCTTTCAGTGTCTCTCTTTTTCAAACAAAAGGAAATGATGTTAATTTGAATAACCGTCCGCAAATGCAAAATGATACCGAGAATGAAATCGGTTGCTCGCTTCTATATGGGGGTTTTTTCTTTAAAACCTCCACATAAGTATTTCTTATTCCTGTCAACTTTGACATTATAAATTAGAATGTTTTGAACAAAAAATAAACCTGCTGAACGACTTTCCATGAGCCTTAATGCCTGAAAAACAGCTTCTCCCGTTATTAAATTTAAAGTTAAAGGTTCTGTGCTATTGGCTATTTATTAATTGTCATGAATACTTTTATTATGTGTAAACATTTGGGACATACTCGTTGATATTTTATCAAACACTTTATTGTCAGAGCTATACAATTGTTTGGTTTTAAATTTTAATTGTTTGTCCTATAAATCAAAATTCCGATCAGTAACATTTAAGGTCGTGACTCAATGAGGCAATATTACTTACTTTAGATTACATCGATTCAAAAATAGATGGTAGTTTTTTTATAGTTGAAAAGTTGAAAAGTTATTACAATAAACGTTACGGTATGTACTCTGTACTTAAACATCAACTTTATTTGGTAATACTAATGATAACACCATTCAGAATGGCAGAATGTGGACAACAAGATGTGGAACTGGAAGAGTTCGTAAAAAAAGAAGTATTAGACATCGACACCTTTCAGTCAACTACAATCCTTCTACCAAATAACGCGTCCAAGTTTGAAGATGATACAAAATATCACCTTGACCTCGAAATAAAGGCCGAAGATTTAACAGCTGAACATTACGAAATTGGAAATGGAACTGCACAATTGTATTTAAACATTGAAGGAACAAAAATAGAAGTATTGCCAGTGTTTAAAGCGGATATTTGTGACACGACTATAAAAAGTGAACCTCTAGACGGTGAATGTAATGCAAGTCCCAGCTCCTCTCTTTCTAATGATCCTCTGAATACCAACCCTCAAAGCATTGTGGATATCTCCCAATCTATTAATATTGGAGAAACTGTTCTGTCTGAACGCAATTTAAAGAAGTACATGTCGACTCGTACTGGACAGAAACCTTATAAATGTGATGTTTGTAGTTACACATCCTCGAGAAGTGGCGCTCTTGCTTCTCACAAACGAAAACACGCCGGAGAGAAACCTTATAAATGTGATATTTGTAGCTACTCAGCCTCGCAAAGTGGCGCTCTTGCTTCTCACAAACGAATGCACACTGGAGAGAAACCTTTTAAATGTGATGTTTGTAGCTACTCAGCCTCGCAAAGTGGCAATCTTGCTTCTCACAAGCGAACACACACTGGAGAGAAACCTTATAAATGTGATGTTTGTAGCTACTCAGCCTCGCAAAGTAGCCATCTTGCTTCTCACAAACGAACACACACTGGAGAGAAACCTTATAAATGTGATATTTGTAGTTACTCAGCCACGGAAAGTAGCAATCTTATTTGTCACAAACGAAAACACACTGGAGAGAAACCTTATAAATGTGATATTTGTAGCTACTCAGCCACGGAAAGTAGCCATCTTGCTTCTCACAAACGAACACACACTGGAGGGAATCAGAAACCTTTTAAATGTGATATTTGTAACTACTCAACCGCGACAAGTAGCCATCTCGCTTCTCACAAACGAACACACACTGGAGAGAATCAGAAACCTTATAAATGTGATATTTGTAGCTACTCAGCCGTGCGAATTGAAACTCTTATTCGTCACAAACGAACCCACACTGGAGAGAATCAGAAACCTTATAAATGTGATATTTGTAGCTACTTAACCGCGACAAGTAGCAATCTTACTTATCACAAGCGAATACACACTGGAGAGAAACCTTATAAATGTGATATTTGTAGCTACTCAACCGCAAAAAGTGGCAATCTTGCTTCTCACAAACGAATACACACCGGGGAAAAACCTTATAAATGTGATATTTTTAGCTACTCAGCCACGGAAAGTGACAATCTGACTTATCACAAGCGAATACACACTGGAAAGAAACCTTATAAATGTTTGTAGTTACACAGCATCGAGAAGTGGCAATCTTGCTTCTCACAAACGAAAACACGCCGGAGAGAAACCTTATAAATGTGATATTTGTAGCTACTCAACCACGCAAAGTGCCGCTCTTGCTTCTCACAAACGAACACACACTGGAGAGAGACCTTATCCATGTACTTTGTGTGACTATAGAGCTAGCCGATCAAGCGATTTGAAGAGCCATTTCCGAACCCACGACGGTAAAAAACCATATAAATTTGATATTTGTAGCTACTCAATCGCAAAAAGTGGCAATCTTACTTCTCACAAACGAATACACACCGGGGAAAAACCTTATAAATGTGATATTTGTAGCTACTCAGCCAAACGAATTTGCGCTGTTATTTGTCACAAGCGAATACACACCGGAAAGAAACCCTATAAAAGTGATGTTTGTAGCTACTCAGCCAACCGAATTGGCTCTCTTATTCATCACAAACTAACACACACTGGAGATAATCAGAAACCTTATAAATGTTATATTTGTAGCTATTCAGCCTCGCAAAGTGCCGCTCTTACTTCTCACAAACAAAAACACGCACGGAGAGAAACCTTATAAATGTGATATTTGTAGCTACTCAGCCGCGCAGAGTGGCACTCTTGCTTCTCATAAACGAACACACACCGGAGAGAAACCTTATTCTTGTAGTTTGTGTGACTACAGGGCTAGCCATTCAATTAGTTTGCAGACCCATATGATGAGTCACTCTAGAGAGAAACTGTCCTGGAGTTGAAAAAGAACGGTGAATTATAATTATAGTCATTCGAAGTCATATCTCACACGTGTTAATTTGTAGTTATATGTTATAGTTATACTGCATACTGGAACCAAGTAAAATAACAGCTAGTCGTTAATACTTATAGTTTTGAAATACTATTTATTAGCTTGTTTAGTTCGAGCAGAAATGTTATTGACGAAATTTTATTCGCATGCCTTATATTTTTCTTGCTTAATATTACCGAAAATTAACAAGTTTTGAAAAGCTTTACAGACATCTTTACTTGATACAATAACTTATTATCAGTTTTATTTTTACCACCAATACCATCTGTCTCATTTGACTTGGAAGCATTAAATTTGTAAATCTAATGCTTACTCGTGCAGTATTTAGACAATTCCAAATTGGCTTTGTGAGCCACTCATAAATTACATAGGAGAATTTTACTCATTTTTAACCCCCTCTACCATAGTTGCCTTGAGTCTTAAAATTGAAAACCCTTCGTATCACCAGGAGGGCATCAACCTTGAACCTCATGGTTCTAGACTAGTAGTAGTTACATATATAGTAAGTGGACCAAAACCCACCATGGATAGAGTGGACTGCTTTCAGTGTCTCTCTTTTTCAAACAAAAGGAAATGATGTTAATTTGAATAACCGTCCGCAAATGCAAAATGATACCGAGAATGAAATCAGTTGCTCGCTTTTATATGGAGGTTTTTTCTTTAAAACCTCCACATAAGTATTTCTTGTTCCTGTCAACTTTGACATTATAAATTAGAACTAAAAATAAACCTGCTGAACGACTTTCCATGAGCCTTAATGCCTGAAAAACAGCTTCTCCCGTTATTAAATTTAAAGTTAAAGGCTCTGTGCTATTAGTATTGTCAATTGTCATGAATACTTTTATTATGTGTAAACATTTGGGACCTACTTATTGCAGATATTTTATCAAACACTTTATTGTCAGAGCTATACAATTGTTTGATTTTAAATTTTAATTGTTCGTCCTATAAATCAAATTCTGATCAGTAACATTTAAGGTCATAACTCAATGAGACAATTTTACTTAGTTTAGATTACATCGATTCAAAAATAGATGGTAGTTGAAAAGTTATTACAATAAACGTTACGGTCTGTACTTAAAAATCAACTTTATTTGGTAATGATAACACCATTCAGAATGGCAGAATGTGGACAACAAGATGTGGAGGGGTTCGTTAAAAAAGAAGTATCACTATCAGACATCGACACCTTTCAGTCAACTACAATCCTTCTACCAAATAACGCGTCAAAGTTTGAAGATGACACAAAATATCACCTTGACCTCGAAATAAAGACCGAAGATTTAACAGCTGAAAATTTCGAACTTGGAAATGGAACTGCACAATTGTATTTAAACACTGAAGGAACAAAAATAGAAGTATTGCCAGTGTATAAAGCGGAGATTTGTGACACGACTATAAAAAGTGAACCTCTAGACGGTGAATGTAATGCAAGTCCCAGCTCCTCTCTTTCTAATGATCCTCTGAATACCAACCCTCAAAGCATTGTGGATATCTCCCAATCTATTAATATTGGAGATACTGTTCTGTCTGAACGCAATTTAAAGAAGTACATGTCGACTCGTACTGGAGAGAAACCTTATAAATGTGATGTTTGTAGCTACACATCCTCGAGAAGTGGCACTCTTGCTTCTCACAAACGAATACACACTGGAGAGAAACCTTATAAATGTGATGTTTGTAGCTACTCAGCCACGCAAATTAGCAATCTTATTTGTCACAAACGAAAACACACTGGAGAGAAACCTTACAAATGTGATATTTGTAGCTACTCAGCCTCGCTAAGTGGCGCTCTTGCTTCTCACAAACGAACACACACTGGAGAGAGACCCTATCCATGTACTTTGTGTGACTATAGAGCTAGCCGATCAAGCGATTTGAAGAGCCATTTCCGAACCCAACACGGTAAAAAACCATATAAATGTGATATTTGTAGCTACTCAGCCGCGCAAAGTGGCGTTCTTGCTTCTCACAAACGAACACACACTGGAGAGAAACCTTATAAATGTGATATTTGTAGCTACTCATCCACGACAAGTAGCAATCTTACTAATCACAAACGAACACACACTGGAGAGAAACCTTATAAATGTGATGTTTGTAGCTACTCAGCCTCGCAAAGTGGCGCTCTTGCTTCTCACAAACGAAAACACACTGGGGAGAAGCCTTATAAATGTGATATTTGTAGCTACTCAGCCACGGAAAGTGGCACTCTTGCTTCTCACAAACGAACACACACTGGAGAGAAACCTTATAAATGTGATATTTGTAGCTACTCATCCACGACAAGTAGCAATCTTACTTATCACAAACGAACACACACTGGAGAGAAACCTTATAAATGTGATGTTTGTAGCTACTCAGCCACGGGAAGTAGCCATCTTACTAATCACAAACGAACACACACTGGAGAGAAATCTTATAAATGTGATATTTGTAGCTACTCAGCCGCGCGAATTGGCACTCTTATTCGTCACAAACGAACCCACACCGGAAAGAAACCTTATAAATGTGATGTTTTTAGCTACTCAGCCAACCGAATTGGCTCTCTTATTCATCACAAACGAACCCACATTGGAGATAATCAGAAACCTTATAAATGTTATATTTGTAGCTATTCAGCCTCGCAAAGTGCCGCTCTTGCTTCTCACAAACGAACACACACTGGGGAGAAACCTTATAATTTTGATATTTTTAGCTACTCAGCCACGGAAAGTGACAAACTGACTTCTCACAAGCGAATACACACCGGAGAGAAACCTTATAAATGTGATATTTGTAGCTACTCAGCCGCACAGAGCGGCACTCTTGCTTCTCATAAACGAACACACACCGGAGAGAAACCTTATTCTTGTAGTTTGTGTGACTACAGGGCTAGCCATTCAATTAGTTTACAGACCCATATGATTAGTCACTCTAGAGAGAAACTGTCCGGGAGTTGAAATAGAACGGTAAATTATACTTATAGTCATTCGAAGTCATATCTCACACGTGTTAATTTGCAGTTATATGTTATAGTTATATTGCATACTGGAACCAAGTGAAATAACAGCTAGTCGTTAATACTTATAGTTTTGAAATACTACTTATTAGCTTGTTTACTTCGAGCAGAAATGTTATTGACGAAATTTTATTCGCATGCCTTATAATTATATTTTTCTTGCTTAATATTACCGAAAATTAACAAATTTTGAAAAGCTTTATAGACATCTTTACTTGATACAATAACTTATTATACAATAACAATACCATCTGTCTCATTTGACTGGGAATTAATTCAAGGTTTGCAAGCGTTAAATTTGTTAATCTATTGCTATTTAGACAATTTCAAATTTGCTTTGTGAGCCACTCATAAATTACATTGGATAATTTGACTCATTTTTAACCACCTCTACCATCGTTGCCTTGAGTCTTAAAATTGAAAACCACTCATTTTACCAGACAATTTGGGGGTGGGGGAGGCTTCAACTTCATGGTTCTAGCCTAGTTACATATATAGTAATTTGACCAAAACCCATCATTGGTAGAGTGGACGTGACCGCTGCCAGTGTCTCTTTTACAAACAAAAGGAAATGATATTAATTTAAATTACCGTCCGCAAATGCAAAATGATAGTGATACCGAGAATGAAATTAATCGCTCGCTTTTATGTGGAGGTTTTTTCCTAAAAACCTCCACATAACTATTAGTATTTCTTATTCCTGTCATCTTTGACATTAAATTGGAATGTTTTGAAATAAAAATAAACCTGCTGAACGACGTTCAATGAGACTTAAATTTAATGCCTGAAAAACAGTAAAGGGGCATATTACTATTAGTATGTGGTAATGGTTTGGAAGGTATGTAATGAGGGCAACGGTCGGTCATGCTTGCCAGCACTATGATTCCGGCCGTTTTACTTTTAGTTCCCGTGTTCCTTTTAGTAGTGACAAAGTCTGTTTACAAACAGATTGAAGGTATGGCGGAATGACAAGTTAAAAAACTGTCACTTTCTAGTTTTGAATATCATCCCAAACCAAGTCTGCAAAACTTCTGCCGTTATTAAATTTAAAATTATAAAAGGCTCTGTGCTATTGGCTATGGTCATTTCTACTTATATTATCTGTAACTGTAAGTGTAAACATTTATATTTGGGACCTACTCGTTGATATTTTATCAAACACTTTATTGTCAGAGCTATACTATTGTTTGGTTTTAAATTTTAATTGTTTGTCCTATAAATCAAAATTTTGATCAGTAACATAAGGTCATGACTCAATGAGGCACTTCTACTTGCTTTAGAATTAGATTACATCGATTCTAAAAATAGATTGGTACAGTCTGTACTTGAAAACATCAACTTTATTTGGTAATGATAACACCATTCAGAATGAAAGAATGTGGACAACAGGTTGTGGAAGGGTTCGTCAAAAAAGAAGTATCAGACATCGACACCTTTCAGTCAATTACAATCCTTCTACCAAATAACGCGTCCAAGTTTGAAGATGACACAAAATATCACCTTGACCTCGAAATAAAGACCGAAGATTTAACAGCTGAAAATTTCGAACTTGGAAATGGAACTGCACAATTGTTTTTAAACACTGAAGGAACAAAAATAGAAGTATTGACTGCAGTGCCAGCAGATAAAGCGGAGATTTGTGACACGACTATACAAAGTGAACCTCTAGAAGGTGAATGTAATGCAATTCCAGCCAGCTCCTCTCTTTCTAATGATCTTCCGAATACCAACCCTCAAAGCAGTGTGGATACCTCCCAATCTATTAATATTGGAAATAATGTTCTGACTGAACACAGTTTAAAGAAGTACATGTCGACTCGTACGGGTGAAAAACCTTATTATTATAAATGTGATGGCGCTCTTGCTTCTCACAAACGAACACACACTGGAGAGAAACCGTATAAATGTGATATTTGTTGCTACTCAGCCGCGACAAGTAGCCATCTTGCTTCTCACAAACGAACACACACTGGAGAGAAACCTTATCAATGTGATATTTGTAGCTACTCAGCCGCGCGAATTGAAACTCTTATTCGTCACAAACGAACCCACACCGGAGAGAAACCTTATAAATGTGATATTTGTAGCTACTCAGCCACGCAAAGTAGCCATCTTGCTTCTCACAAACGAAAACACACTGGAGAGAAACCTTATAAATGCGATATTTGTAGCTACTCAGCCTCACAAAATAGCACTCTTGCTTCCCACAAACGAACACACACTGGAGAGAGACCCTATCCATGTACTTTGTGTGACTATAGAGCTAGCCGATCAAGCGATTTGAAGAGCCATTTCCGAACCCAACACGGTAAAAAACCATATAATGTATAAATGTGATATTTGTAGCTACTCAGCCGCGCAAAGTAGCAATCTTACTTATCACAAGCGAATACACACTGGGAAGAAACCTTTTAAATGTGATATATGTAGCTACTCAGCCGCGACGAGAAGGGGGAGGGTCAACCTCATTTTACCTCATTCGGCCAGGCAAAAAAGGCAAAATTGGGATGAGGTAAAATGAAGTAAAATGAGGTAAATAAATCTAGTTTTCTAAGCCTTTTTTTAGAAAAGGCTTAGAAAACTAAAAGACAATTGGGGGGGGAGGCATCAACCTCATGGTTCTAGCCTAGTTATATAATTATATATATATATAACTATATATAGTAATTTGACCAAAACCCATCATGGGTAGAGTGGACCGCTGCCAGTGTCTCTCTTTTCCAAACAAAAGGAAATGTCAATGATATTAATTTGAATAACCGTCCGCAAATGCAAAATGATACCGAGAATGAAATCGGTCGCTCGCTTTTATGTGGAGGTTTTTTCTTTAAAACCAACTTTGACATTATAAATTAGAATGTTTGAACAAAAAATAAACCTGCTGAACGACTTTCCATGAGCCTTAATGCCTGAAAAACAGCTTCTCCCGTTATTAAATTTAAAGTTAAAGGCTCTGTGCTATTGGCTATAGTCATGTTTAATTTTATTATGTGTGAACATTTGGGACCTACTCGTTGATATTTTATCAGACACTTTATTGTCAGAGCTATACAATTGTTTGGTTTTAAATTTTAATTGTTTGTCCTATAAATCAAAATTCCGATCAGTAACATTTAAGGTCGTGACTCAATGAGGCAATATTACTTACTTTAGATTACATCGATTCAAAAATAGATGGTAGTTGAAAAGTTATTACAATAAACGTTACGGTCTGTACTTAAACATCAACTTTATTTGGTAATGATAACACCATTCAGAATGGCAGAATGTGGACAACAAGATGTGGAAGGGTTCGTTAAAAAAGAAGTATCAGACATCGACACCTTTCCGTCAACTACAATCCTTCTACCAAATAACGCGTCAAAGTTTGAAGATGACACAAAATATCACCTTGACCTCGAAATAAAGACCGAAGATTTAACAGCCGAACATTACGAAATTGGAAATGGAACTGCACAATTGTATTTAAACACTGAAGGAACAAAAATAGAACTAGAAGTATTGCCAGTGTATAAAGCGGAGATTTGTGACACGACTATAAAAAGTGAACCTCTAAACGGTGAATGTAATGCAAGTCCCAGCTCCTCTCTTTCTAATGATCCTCTGAATACCAACCCTCAAAGCATTGTGGATATTTCCAAATCTATTAATGATTAATATTGGAGATACTGTTCTGTCTGAACGCAATTTAAAGAAGTACATGTCGACTCGTACTGGAGAGAAACCTTATAAATGTGATGTTTGTAGCTACACATCCTCGAGAAGTGGCGCTCTTGCTTCTCACAAACGAAAACACGCCAGAGAAAAACCTTATAAATGTGATATTTGTAGCTACTCAGCCTCGCAAATAGGCGCTCTTGCTTCTCACAAACGAATACACACTGGAGAGAAACCTTTTAAATGTGATGTTTGTAGCTACTCAGCCACGCAAATTAGCAATCTTATTTGTCACAAACGAAAACACAGTGGAGAGAAACCTTATAAATGTGATATTTGTAGCTACTCAGCGTCGCAAAGTGGCGCTCTTGCTTCTCACAAACGAATACACACTGGAGAGAAACCTTATAAATGTGATATTTGTAGCTACTCAGCCACGCAAATTAGCAATCTTATTTGTCACCAACGAAAACACAGTGGAGAGAAACCTTATAAATGTGATATTTGTAGCTACTCAGCCGCGCGAATTGAAACTCTTATTCGTCACAAACGAACCCACACCGGAGAGAAACCTTATAAATGTGATATTTGTAGCTACTCATTCACGGAAAGTATATAGCCATCTTGCTTCTCACGCGACAAGAAGCAATCTTACTTATCACAAGCGAATACACACTGGAGAGAAACCTTATAAATGTGATATGAGGTTGGATTGGAGGTGATTAGCCATAATAGCCAAACAGTACTGGAGAATGCCCAACTTGTGATAAGACCAGGATTCCGGCTTAATCCTGATCCCTAATCCCGGTCCCGGTCTTAATCCCGGTTCCGGCACTTTTTCCCAGTCCCGGCCAAAAAGCGGTCCCGGTCGAGCCTTGGCTTTAACGAGATGGAAGCAACCAGAGAGATGGTTAGATGTATAAATTTTGGGATTGAAGTGGTTTGAAATAACCAAAGAAATGTTAAACAAATTGAACAACAGGTTGAACAAAAAAGTATAAGCACAAAGCATATGTAAAGAGTTACCGCTATCGAGTGATAAAATAGGAGAAAGCATAAATATGATCTTAGGCAGACGCCAGATAGCTCATCGCGGTATCACATGACTTTAATACTGTGATATCATTGGTCATCTATATATCCAATGCGAAATATAAATAGATCGCGAGTTTTATGGATTAGTAGCGCCGTACAAAAATTAAGCAGTTTGAAACAAAATTACAAGTTTTCGGTTTACACAAATATTAAAACATTTACATTTTTGTTCGTATGAAGGTTCCAATGACTTAATAAAGTCGTTTAAATAATAAAAATAGTATAAAGATACCAAGTAAACTCACAAATATTGCAACTTAGTCAAAAACAATGCATTTAACTGTTTTGGTGGTGCGCGCGCACCATCTCAGTCAATTACTCCCATATTTGGTCAAATAGGATAATAGGGACGCAAAATATGCGTCCCTCCAAAAAGTCCGATTTCCTTCATTGTATGCCCCTTTTTCCGCCTCGCGCGCGAAAAGTGGCATGCAACGTATGTCAAAGCAATCGTGAATCGCAATAAAATTTGACGGATGTTACTCGTCTAAATTTCTTCGAATTAGCGCGCTCCGCTTTTCTTCTCGAAGTAGCGCGCGCCGGACCAAATCATTAACAATGGTCAAAATAAATTAATTTTTTAGCGTTTAGAGTTTAGACTGTCGCATGTGATTAAATATTATCGTGTAATTGCACGTTGCACGCGTGCAAAATAGTCGTTTAAAATCAACATTGCGAGCCTCATGAAATTGCTATTTGTCCATTGTTAATGGACTAGCTCGGCGCGGCGCGCTACTTCATAGCACTTGTGACTTGCAATTACCTCATGCTAATATTTCGAAAAGAAATTATGAATTATAGCGGCACTAGTCCGAAGAAATTTAGACGGGTAACTGAAACATGCATATCCGTCAAGTGTAATGCGAGAAGCTCAAAAAGAGTTGTAGCGCGTTTGATTCACGATGTCAATCCTTCTATTCTCATCTCGCCGCTTTGCATGTGATTGCGAGAAGCATTATTGGATGCGCTGTGCGGCCCAGTAGTGCATCGCACTACAATAGCGCGCAGGTTCATAACCTACCATACTGCAAGACGCGCGCCGAGCTGGACTTGTCAACGGTCTATTTGAAACAAATATTTTACGAGTGTCACCCGGTAAGAAAAGAGCGCGGCGCGTTGGGATTGGCGTGCCAGGTAATTAGCGGAGAGAAGCTAGAGTAACAATCAGCGAGCTAGGTTGTAGGTAAGCAGTGTAATTTAACATTTAAACTGCGTAATGAGTCACTTAAAAAACAATGAGTTTTTACTTTGTCAATATTCCCAGTTAGTAACACTAACATATCCCGGTAGTAACCGTAAAAACAAAGTAAACGACGTATGTGAAGTAAAAGACATGTATCAGTTTGTTATAAAACTAAAAACGAAGCAGACAATTGCCAATCCTGGAACAATGAAACATAATCTTGGCGGGTGAGCATCTGGCTTAAAACAATTTCTAAATTCCAGAGCAAGAATTCAACTTCAAGAGTAACTCGATAAAGTCTATGAAGAGGCTTTATAATTTCAAGCATAGTATTAGATGCAATGGTGGTATGCTAAAATGATGGATCCTTGGAGTCACATACCATCTATACTGTATATACAGTTGATAAAAGCTGTGTTGCTCGGTGTTCTCACGGGTTACAATTCAGTAAATCGGAACCAAACATAAAATAAAGAACACTATCGGTCATACCAAATCAGTGTAGATAAGTCAAGTAATATATAATAAATATTTACACAGTAAAGCATTTGAAAGATAAACTTATCAACCGCGTACTATCAGCTAAATTTAAGATGAAACTCGAGTACGTGACCATTAACCAAAAATAGTTTTTTTAAAAGGATTATTTGATATAATTTCCACACGAACTTGTTATTTTCGCAACAAATGTGTAATTTTAAAGACAATTTAAGTTTAAATGACTATTAACACGATAAATCAGTTAACGGGAAACATTTTGAAGTAAGAAATATTGTTTTAAAGTTTTCCTCATTTATATTTTACTGTTTATACACAACCCAAATCTTGCATTCTATCAGACACTTCAATATCTACAAATAACTATCAGTCAACTACTTTGGTTAAGGCTAAGAAATAGCGCAAGAATTGTTTTGACACGTTGCTGCAATTCGAAGATTTAACTGGCCAATTACGTGATAAGTCTGTCAACAACGACCAATAAAATCTTTGAAATAGAATTGCTACCACTTGAAAAAAACAAACTTCGGCCAACTCTCACTATTACGCTCCTCTATAATAGCTGTCCACTGAATCATTGAAAACGATTATAAATTACCAATCAACTGTCAAGGGGTCGTTCACATATTCACAAGTAATCAGCCGAGGGGGGAGGGGGAGGGGGAGGGGGGTTTCAAATGATTACGCTAGAGTGATTTTGACACAATAGCTATGTGTAAAAATGATTACGGAGGGAGGAGGGGGTTCCAAATTGTCCAGAGTGATTACGTAATATGTAATTAAGTGATTGCGTAATTATATAATATGTAATTAAGTGATTACGTAATTACGTAATATGTCAACGACCCCTAATTAAAAGAGCACTGCTCAGATGCATCGAATTCCTACAAAAATATTATGTACTAAAAGTAAAAGATATCTTAAGTTTTACAGAGAGTACAGATAATAACCGTTTACATATCATAACACAAACAGCCAAAGTAGTGGGATGAGTTTCAACTTTCAGCAATGGCAATGCAGCAAACCGAAACCAGTTAAATTTAGAAAGTTGCGGGGTAGCCACGTGCAGCATTATTAGCAGTTTGCTGGAATGCGAGTGGCGCAAAAACGCGGCTCTTGTGTACATAATTCTTCGAAAAGGGGCAGAATTTATGGACATTTTCGGATTTCTCAGATAGGTCTGAAATGTTTTAGCGGAAATGTAATTTCGAAAAAAATTTCGGAACCAAAATTAAAAAGAAAATTAGTAATAACTTAATAGCCTCATTTCGCTGCAGTTTAGGTCCAGATGTTGGCGGGAAAGTGGACCATATTTGTTTTAACGTGTGACAGTAATTAGTGTGTTTTAAATGGTCAATTCTGGAAGCTGATTGGTCAATATATGTCACATGTCAGAAAAAATATGATTCACCCACCAGTATCCGGATCTACAAGCCACCCTGTTATATAAATCTTATATTTTACGAAAATAAGAATATGTGACCATTGAAAGACACAGTTAAATTAAATCAACAAATCGTTTGCAGTTAAAGTTATCCGATTTTACCCAGATCTGCGAACACATGTAAACATAAAAGTGGGATCTCAGATCTGAATAAAACTAGCTGTGTCAGAAAGGACGGGAAAGATACATCGTTTTCAAAGAGTCCCTATCAATATGATAGAAGACCTTCCTTTGGGCACTCCTATCGACTTTCACAAAAGCGGGATGATAAATATATCCATACAAGATCTCTCATGGAAAACACCATAAAGTTTTTTCCTCGGTCATCGATAGAGTTCAACATAAACCATTCCCGAGGATAAGATGAATATTTTGAAGCATTTTGGAGACCAAAATGACGTCATAAACCAGGTAATTCAGAGCAGATATCAGCCTTGGTGGTATATATATATATATCACAAGAGACACAATCTTCTTTATGTTCGCTCTTTTAACAACCGATTCAGCGGGTGACCGACAAATGAACACAATTGAACCTAGTTCATACTAACCAATCAGCTTAATTGGTTAGGGTTAGGGTTAGAGTTAGGGGTAGTCTAAATTGGGTTCAGTTGTCCGGTAGCCGATTCAGCATCTATTACAAAGAATAAAATTTGTTTTTTGATCACACACCATCGCGCGGAAAGCTCGCCGTTCAATCTGCGTCCCTGCCAGTGTTTCTGCATCTGGTGGGATGTTGAGCGTGTCTCAATCGAGACAGGTAGGTGTCTCAACTAGTGAGACATGTTTCTGCTACACACTTGTACCCTCCTCGTCGTCTGACGGGGCGTTTAGAGGGAGTCCCATCAGCGGGGCGTCTTCTGAGAATATGCCCGTTTTAAGGTTATTGAACGATCGATGAAATATCACTCTAGGGCGATTGCTAATAGTTATGATTGTAAATAACGTTTGAATATGTGTGAGCTGAAAGATCCGACTTATAGACTTTTTGGCAAACGTTTAAAAAGTAAAAATTCCTGCATTAAATTCCTGAATTAAATTAAATACTTGCATTAAATTCCTGAATTAAATTAAATTCTTGCATTAAATTTACCTGATTTTGGAGTGGATCCTCCACTAGATTGATTATTAAGCTTCCTCATGGAGCAACCCCAGCAACCGTCATCTGGGAGAAGTGTTACTTAAAAAGTGTTACTTGAAAGGTGTTACTTAAAAGGGTTATGTTCATAATCCCTTCCACAGATTTGTTCAACTATCTAAAATCGAAAAATATAGTAAAATCAATAGTTAAAGTCAAGAGCCAGGTAAGTCAAAAATAGTCATGTTGTAATGCGGTAACTCATCATTGGTCAGCTGATTTCTACTTCAAATCTTTACCTTTAATAAGTTGGCTTACCGTTATTAGAGATTGCACTAAGCAGTTGTTAAGTCAACAACTTACCGTTAAGTTATTAAAACTTAGTTAACAAGTAATAATCTACCTTGATGTGAATGTGAATAGAAAAATAGAACATGGAATCTAAAGACAGCCTGTTAAAGAGTAAAACATCGCAACAGTGAACTAAGAAACTAAATCATTAACATATAAATAATGTATACTTTCTACCGTTAGGTCCCCTAAAACATGTTACTTTAAACAAACATTTTTTTCTCTGGCGAAACATTAAAACTTTTAAAAGAGCGCATTATATTTTCACAAGCATTTACTTGGTATATTTGAAATGAAAAAAAAAACTGCAGCTTAAAATTAGTTAATGTGAAATCAATCGTTCATCATTCCGTTTGGGTTGCTTCTGTAAAAGTGGAAATGATAATAACAGATTTTTTGATGATGCAAGAATTTGCACGTCATTCAATAAAATGCAACCTTTTAAAAGGTTGAATATAATGCTTCTAAGTTTTTGAATGTTTGGGAGACGATTGCCATGCATATTTTGCTAAATAGTGCACTAAGAATAAATTAATCATAACCACAATCTTCGACAGTTCTTTCAATTTTTTATTTGATGATTGAAATGATTGATGGTTGGGAGGTGATTACTCGGCCCGAAATGGCGAATTCAGTCCGGCATTGAATTTAAATCTTACAATCTGTCTTTCCTTGCTTTTTGACCACTGATATTGTGATCTCTGGCCAGTTCTCGGCCAACACAAAGGGTAAGTTTCAGTCTTTTTATTGAACAAGTGGGTTACAAGCCACGTGATCGTGTGGTACAAACAACACTATGCGTCGCCATAACAACACCACGTGACGTCATAACAACACCACGTGACGTCATAACAACACCACGTGACGGTCTCACGTGACGTCATCATGACGAAACACGGCGCGCATCGCAACAGCAGTTGTGAGACCTAATAAATTCTCTCATGATCTAAAATATCTTGATTTCATTTGATATCTGGTGATATAATCTCTCAAAGTAGGGTCGTGTGAAGGGAGTCCACTGGTGAGGTATCCAAGCTGTAATCGGAGGAACTCCACTGGTACTCGTACGATTTACACCCCCAGCAGGTGCCGGAGCCTAAGAAGCAAAGTTTTTGGGTTTTTTATTGACCAAAGTGATCTACTTATTTGAGGGCACCTTAAAACTGGTCCATTATTGGGACCATCTATCGCTTGGAAATTGAAATCGATGGTTGAATGGCGAGAGTTGCAAGACTACAAACATTGCAATAAATTGAAAAAGATGAGAATTTTTTTGCAGAGACAGATGGCCCCTTCCCAGCTTAAAGCACTGATTCAACAAAATCAAATGGTCACAAATCGAGTGCTACTGTATAATATAATCTAGCGTACAGTGCTATAAAACACAGAGCAGTAAGCATGACACCACTCACAATGACGATGCACGTGCAAATATTTGCGGATCACACATACACGCGCGCGCAAACACACACACACAACTCTCACACGTGCAGATTGTATCACACACACTTGCTTCCCGAACATGTCTCTCAATTTTGCATGACCCCCACAAGTGATAGAATACTCTCTCTCTCTCTCTCTCTCTCTCTCTCTCTCTCTCTCTCTCTCTCTCTCTCTCTCTCTCTCTCTCTCTCTCTCTCTCTCTCTCTCTCTCTCTCTCTCTCTCTCTCTCTCTCTCTCTCTCTCTCTCTCTCTCTCTCTCTCTCTCTCTCTCTCTCTCTCTCTCTCTCTCTCTCTCTCTCTCTCTCTCTCTCTCTCTCTCTCTCTCTCTCTCTCTCTCTCTCTCTCTCTCTCTCTCTCTCTCTCTCTCTCTCTCTCTCTCTCTCTCTCTCTCTCTCTCTCTCTCTCTCTCTCTCTCTCTCTCTCTCTCTCTCTCTCTCTCTCTCTCTCTCTCTCTCTCTCTCTCTCTCTCTCTCTCTCTCTCTCTCTCTCTCTCTCTCTCTCTCTCTCTCTCTCTCTCTCTCTCTCTCTCTCTCTCTCTCTCTCTCTCTCTCTCTCTCTCTCTCTCTCTCTCTCTCTCTCTCTCTCTCTCTCTCTCTCTCTCTCTCTCTCTCTCTCTCTCTCTCTCTCTCTCTCTCTCTCTCTCTCTCTCTCTCTCTCTCTCTCTCTCTCTCTCTCTCTCTCTCTCTCTCTCTCTCTCTCTCTCTCTCTCTCTCTCTCTCTCTCTCTCTCTCTCTCTCTCTCTCTCTCTCTCTCTCTCTCTCTCTCTCTCTCTCTCTCTCTCGCTCGCTCGCTCGCTCGCTCGCTCGCTCTCTCTCTCTCGCTCGCTCGCTCGCTCGCTCGCTCTCTCTCTCTCTCTCTCTCTCTCTCTCTCTCTCTCTCTCTCTCTCTCTCTCTCTCTCTCTCTCTCTCTCTCTCTCTCTCTCTCTCTCTCTCTCTCTCTCTCTCTCTCTCTCTCTCTCTCTCTCTCTCTCTCTCTCTCTCTCTCTCTCTCTCTCTCTCTCTCTCTCTCTCTCTCTCTCTCTCTCTCTCTCTCTCTCTCTCTCTCTCTACACTAACCGCTGCAGATTTTCTGGTTATGGACGACTTTTTGAAGGGGATTGTCAAAAAGGGCGGGTAGGTGAAAAGTAATCTGTATTTTATTAATAACTCATAAATATGATGCACTTATCAGATAATGGAGCCTTTTAGCGGTGAAGTTGTTTTGAAGAGTGGCTTTATCCCGGAGATTTGTATAGATTATCAGTCAATGATAAAACTATAGTGAGCTAAATAAAGCTCATAACTTTCTGTTTCCAGAAGAGAAAATCTGGTAATCTTAGGTAATTTCATTTTTAAACTCATAAGTGTTTTAGAAAGGATATCGATGACACTTGTATATATTATCTTGACTTCTATCCGAATCTGTGTCTCAAATTTTGAAATCTCAATTCTGTCCCGTTAACATCCTTTGGACGGCAATATATATATATCCAAGCAAGGTTTTACAATTAAATTCCCTGATTAAAAGCTCTAAAATCGTGGCGAACAGAGCTGTCGACATAGAATATAAAGCCTTATAATGACGCAGTTCGCCGCCAAAGCTCAAATCGTAATGAGCCCGGAGTGCTTATTTCACTTGTCACAAAAGAATTCTATAATGCAGCCATTTCTAGCCAAATTTGACAATCCCCTTGAAATGGAATTAGCACGAAGTTCAGCACATTACATTCTACAGTTTAAAGTAGGAAATTTGCCGAACCAGACATATTTGCACTGTTAGCCGTTAGGCCGCACAAAACCAGCTCAAGTTCACACATAGTAACCATAGTAACCATAGTAACCATAGTAACCAGCTCAATTTCACACTTCACAAATAGTTAATGATCACGTGACTCTTAAGCATCCCTATTATCTCAGGAGGACGAAACCACCTGTTGTTTTATGAGTTTAATGAGGGTTTTATGATTTTTCTATGATTTTTGAAGAAGTTTTCGTTAAATCTAATGCCGGACTGTGTTGGATTTCATGATAATAATAAAATAAACTGTTATTATAACAGTGAAATAATTTAAACTATGTCATCACATAATAGCCCGTCATTTTATAGACCACCGATACAATACAATTAAAGGTGATATGAATAATTGAAATAATACCGAAAATTCAGCGAAATTAAGAAATTATTGAGAGTTTAAATGTGGTGTATAATGAGTTGATAGACTCGGATGCTGGTGGGAAGATAAACCATTTATTTTCTGACGCGTGATAGCAATTGACCGATTAGCTTCCACATGGGACCAATCATATCCCTGAATTACTGTCACGTGTCCAAACAAACATACCTCCCCACCAGTGTCCAGATCTAAAGATCCGTCAATTGTCGTGTCTGTCTTTTAAAGATATACTTCAGGAATGTCGATTACTTGACTTTCGGGATTGTCAGTTCAAGATACAAAAAAGTCATTTGCAATCGTGAAACAAACAATTATAGCATCATGCTAGCGCTAAAATATAATCAAGACTTACTGATATTGTAAGTGCTTGGCAGATAAAAATTATAGGAAGCCACACTTATTGAAAGATAGTTCATGACATTTAAAAGAATTGGTTATCATGAAAGAGTTAAAGAAATAGAAGAACTCGTATGATGTAAAGCTTCAATACGACACACTATAGCCACTGTGCTACTAAAGTACATTATACTTATAGCAACTGTGCTAAAGTACATACTTCATAGCCACTGTACTAATTCACCATAGCCACTGTACTAAAGCCCTCGAGTAATAATTCCTCGATATAAGAATGCATTTTAAGAAATCTAGCATGGCACACGTATAACAATAATCTGCCTGCACGCTCCGAGGGGAGACAACTCTCTGAGGGGGGGCAACCCTCGCTCGGAGGGGGGAGGCAACCCTCAGAGGGGAGGCAACCCTCAGAGGAGAGGCAACCCTCAGAAGAGAGGCAAACCTCGGAGGAGAGGCAACCCTCAGAGGGGAGGCAAACCTCGGAGTAGAGGCAATCCTCAGAGGGGAGGCAACCCTCGCTCGGAGGGGAGGCAACCCTCGCTCGGAGGGGGGAGGCAACCCTCAGAATAGAGGCAACCCTCAGAGGAAAGGCAACCCTCAGAAGAGAGGCAAACCTCGGAGGAGAGGCAACCCTCGGAAGAGAGGCAAACCTCGGAGGAGAGGCAACCCTCGGAAGAGAGGCAACCCTCGCTCGAAAGAGAGGCAACCCTCAGAGGGGAGGCAACCCTCAGAGGAGAGGCAACCCTCGGAAGAGAGGCAACCCTCAGAAGAGAGGCAAACCTCGGAGGAGAGGCAACCCTCAGAGGAGAGGCAACCCTCAGAGGGGAGGCAACCCTCAGAGGAAAGGCAACCCTCAGAGGAGAGGCAACCCTCAGAGGAGAGGCAACCCTCAGAGGGGAGGCAACCCTCAGAGGAAAGGCAACCCTCAGAAGAGAGGCAAACCTCGGAAGAGAGGCAACCCTCGCTCAGAGTGGAGGCAACCCTCGCAAGGAGGGGGAGGCAATCCTCCTCGGCACATTTCGCCACACGACACTTACTTCTGAGCTTCTTTTTCAGCTCCACTGCCATCTGATCCACTGACATGTCCTCCTCTTTGAGTGCCTTAATCCCGACTAGGGTCATATCAAACGCACCCACTTCCGCCTCGCTTATATCTTCTGCGGGGAATTATATTCAAATATTTTGAAATATATCAGAATTTAGGAAGTAAAGCGGTTCAGCTATTTAATAGGTTAAGTTTCACCATTTTGCAAAGTTGCACCGTAAAATCGGTCTGATTTTATTTACTGGGGTAGTTGAAAGCCCGAGTTTTCTGAATTTAATGTTGCAATATGCCAACCAATGATAACTTAAATGAAAATCCCAATCTTCATTCAAATGTTTTTTAAAGAAAGTTCCAGCTCCTTACTTTTCCAGATGGGTAAGATGCAGTCCTGAGTAGAGAGTCTGCTCTTAGAATGGAGAGAGGAGAGTTCGGAGGAGGTCCATTTGCTGCACTTGTTGACAAAACTTTTACTGAGGACTACCAGACCATATTTGCTATCCCGTAATCCGTCCTGAGAGATGGTTGACTTATTTGGTAATTATTAAAGATTGTGTTAAGAAATGAAATCGTTATGTTCTTCTCACCTTTAGACTTTAGTTAAGATTCAAGAGATATCTTAGAAGTAGATCGCTTGAAAGGCAAACTTGTTTCACGGAAAATAAGGTTGAAGCAATAAAAAATCCTCACGTTGATAACTCGGTGAAGCTCACAGCCCCAACTAAGTTCATCCTTAGCAAAGAACACATCTATCTTTTCCCTGACAAACGCTTCCTTCAGCTGAATGATGTAGTTTTCATCCTCACTGACATGACAGATGAACACATCCCATCTCTTAGGATCTGAAATCAATTAATATAATGATTTAATTTAATTTGATTTCTTTTCAATTTTAGATTGTTCAATATATTGATTTATTAATTTGTAACTGAAGAGGAGAAAATACCGGTAATTTATTTCGACAATTGATCAGGTAAATTAAAATATATTCCATTGACTACTTTGTTTTATGATGACGATAACCTTATTATATATAAGAAAATACTAATAAATAATGTGATATTGACCTTTGTTGTGCATACAATGCTGACAAGGACTAAATGTTTCGGGTCTAATCAATTTTTTTATTTCTTCGTATGGTGTCTTCTTGTACGTCTTGAATCTGAAGAAAAAAAGTTATCAAAACACAGTCTTATCGATAATTCATCAATTCATAAATTACTGATTTTAACCATATTTAGGTTGGAAATCAATTTATAGTGGTCAAAATGTACGCTATTAGTGAAAATTTTAAGACTCAATATCAGTTGAAGCTCAGTTTAACTTACATAAAGCTCTAGAAAGGAAGCAAGTGTCAGCATTACTGCTTCTTGACTTCTCCAAGGCGTTTGACCTAGTAGACAGTGAGATACTGCTACATAAGCTGGAGCACTATGGTGTAAGAGGCCTTAGCTTATCCTGGTTTGAGTCTTATCTAACTAACCGGAAACAGTATGTTCACGTCAACGGTTGCAGTTCAGAAAAAATGGGATTGGAACATGGAGTTCCTCAAGGGTCCATTCTTGGTCCTATATTGTTCATTATTTACATAAACGACCTTGCAAATGTAAGCGATATAGCCCATTATATTTTCTTCGCTGATGATGCAAACATCATCGTTTCTGCCGACACGTACACTGAACTGAATATGCGTGCAAACAGAGTTTTAAATACTGTACAGACATGGGTTAAAAACAACGGTCTTAAACTTAATGTAGGAAAAACTAAATACATGATATTCACTAACAGATTACCAGAGGATATAAATATTAGTATAGAAGGACAGCGACTAGTGAAAAGTGAACATGAACGATTTTTAGGTGTCATTATTGACTCAAAACTTAGCTGGATCCAGCACATTAAACAGTTAAAGACTAAAATATCCAGAAATGCAGGCGTAATGATGAAACTTAAAAGTTCCATTCCGAATAAAGCTCAAAAAATGCTATACAATAGTTTAATTCAATCTCACCTGTATTACTGCGCTACTGTTTGGGGTACTAAATCTTTAAATTCCATTCAGTCTTTATTCTCTGCTCAAAAGAAAGCTATTCGCGCCACTGATTCAGAATATCATAACTATTTTTACGACAAAGAAAAACGTAAACTACCATCTCACACAAAATCCATCTTCAACAAAATAGGAATTTTAGCTCTTCCTAATCTCATTGCTAAAAGCTGTCTAACTTTGAGAGTTATATGGGAGTAGCACCATCGAGTATCTGTAGTATATTTGAAAAATCACCGCTTAGACAAACGGAAAGGAGAAATCCAAAGTATTTTGAAATTAAGTTCAACAGATTACGGATCACCGATTATAGCATCTCTAACGTAGGACCACGATTATATAACAACACGATAAACGAAATAAATAAAATCCTTCCCTTCAACGTACCTAAGTTACAAGATAAGTTTATTAATTCATACAAGGACAACATTGTACGTTACTTACAGGACAAACAAAAACTTGACCTAGAAAACCTTTCGTGGACGGACAAGAACTTTGTCCTTTACAACTTTTAAACAAAATATTAGCAAAATATAACAGCTGTAAGAATCCTAAACGTTAGTGCAGTCAAATAAATGAACTGCGATAATGCATTTGACAGTCAGTCACTGCAATTTATTCTGCAACTTATTTTTCAATTTTCACTGCCACACTTAGGCTTATCTTGCCTACACATTTTTAAAAACGAAATTCCTTGCGCACCGCGTACTAAAATTACTTGGATTTCTACCGCTTTGATAAATGACTACAAGAAGATGGGGAGTTAATATTGTTGATTTATATAATATAGATTATTTATTCTTTAGTGTAGATTAACTTTATTTTTATATATTTTACCAAGTGTGAAGGATCAACCATACGTTATTGATATTTTTGAAATATTTAACGATAAATTGATATAATAATAAATGATTGTAATATTTTTATTGAGGCACATGCCACCCCATCGCGGGTTTACTACTACTACAGTTATAGATTTGTGAGGGATTAGACTTTTGCTCATTCGGAGTTGGACGTCCCACTGTCAGTTATATACCTGAAGAAGTAGAAGAAAGCACCGACGACGAAGATGAAGACAGCGGCGACTCCTAGAACAGGAAGCAGTATCTCCAGCGCACCAGGACCCATATTTCCTGGGTTCACTGCGGGGGTTATTAGGATTAATTAGAAGTAATTAGAGGGTAATTAGGGGTAATTAAAGGTAATTAGAGATGTATCTTGATAAGAGATATATGTTACTGTCACCAGAAAGTGTTGGTATTTGACAGGGTCGCTTAAGTTCGACTGTTGTATCATCATCAATGCCCAATAACAAAACATGATCAATAACATAATATTATAGCAACATGTGAGAATATGTTCAATTTGATAACAAGTTATTGTAATATCCGCGGGGATAGGGATGTGATAAACATAAACAAAGCGTGCACCAATGACAGATAGTCTGGTCATTTGCTGCATTCTGCAAATGGTGTTAAAAGTCTAAATTTTTTGTGACCTAGCTCTTCAATATCTAAGGAATTAGGGTAACCCCATCGATTCCCATTTAAACAAAAGTTAAGGAACAAATGGGCAAAATGGGCATAATTATGCTAATCATTTTTCAGTTAAAATCGAAAATAAATATTTCTGATACCATAACACCATTTAACTGACATATATAGCTGTTCTTGCTAATTCGAGGACGGCTAATTAAAGGACGGCTGATTAGAGGACGGCGAACACGATGGTGATGATTATTTTCATCGTTTCCCAAGTTTTAGCTGTCTTTAAGCCTATGCCCACCGATAGCAAATGAAGTTCATCGAGGGTCTATTCTTGGTCCAATATTGTTCATTATTTATTTTTTATGTGTCAAAATTGACTCAAAACTTAGTTGGAGCTAGCATAACAACAGCTTAACTTAAAACCAAAATATCTAGAAATGCTGGCGCAATTATAAAACTTAAGTTCCATTCCAAAAAAAAATGCTACACGATAACTTAATTTAATCGCACTTGTATTGCGCTTGTATTGCGCTTGTGTGGTACTAGTGAATTATGAAGTTCCATTATAAACAGTATTTATTCCATATACAGTCCGTATCTTCTGCTCAAACGAAAGCTTCAAGAAACAAAAGAAGAAAAATGAAAGCTATTCACGCTGTACGCGAACCAGGCACGAGGGCGTAGGGCACAATGGCTGCGGACGCGAGGGCACAATGGCGGTACTTTCCTTAAAGGATGGACACGAGGGCGGATCTCATGATCCCACGATAAGTTTTAACATGGACATTGGACAGTGGACACGACGGTGGAACCAAACACCGTCCCAAATAAAGAACCAGCAATAAACTTGTAACATCGCATCATACAATTTGAATTTAACTTTTGTTTATAAACATACAAGTATGTTGACTTTTAATATGGACAGTGAACATGAGGGTGAACTGTGAAACCAAATACCATCCCGGCAATCAAACAACGCGATCGAGAATTTAATTAAAAGAGCACCAGGAGACAAACGGCAAGAAGACATCAACAGTATTTTAAAATTGAGTTTAACACTAACAGATGGTGTCTCGATTTCATAACAAAACTATAACGATATAATATACAAAATAAATAAAATCTTCCCTTTAAGGCCACGGGGGGGGGGGGAGGGGGGGGGGGGGGGGGTTCGAGGTAATTTTTGAGATATGTTGTAGAGCTCTATCTAAATTTTTCAAGGGCTTTTGTCCTCAACGAAAAAAAGTTTCCCGTCTGGCGTCTGTAGATAACACGCGTCAAATTTAGAGGTTTACCTGTAATTCTATTGTAAATGAAAACTTTAGATAAGATTTTTGACCTTGTAACTTGGCAAAAATGTTTGTCAAGGTCTTGTCCAACAGAAAAATGAGGCGATTTTTGATATTTTGCTCCTAAGCTGAGATATGAGGTTAACAACAGGAGGTGACCGGGACATGATTTCAGGCCTGACCGGGACCGGGACCGGGATACAAAATGTGACTTGACCGGGACCGGGACTGAGATTATCAATTTACCGGGACCGGGACCAATAATTTCTGGGATTTCTATCTTACCGGGACCGGGACCGGGACCAACAATCCAATTTTACCGGGATGACCGGGATTTGACCGGGACCAAAACTGGTATTCTCATATTGAAAGCTGCAACTTTCATTTACATTATAATTGAACAATTTGAATAAGTAATAACTAGAATATTAAATTAGAAAAAACTAGAAAAAACCCGTCAATATGGGGCATGGGCCTAATGTACTACACCAATAATGTTCATGTACTGATTACTCAAGTTCACCCTCATTCCTCATTCCTCAATCAATGATCCCTCAAATTATTCAACAGTTTCATTCTCCAATTCCAATTGACAATTGGGCGTAGCCCGAGTTGAAAACTTGATGTTACTTTGCACTTATGAGTTATGTAACGATATTAGTTACCTAAACTTGTTTAGCAATTTTAAACATTGTTTTATTTGGCTCAGAGGTTGTTTAAAGATGAAATTCACAATGAATGAAAGTAAAAACTTACAGTGAATGAAATTATGTAAAAGATCCCGGTCAAAATCCCGGCAGATTTGAGTGATTGACCGGGACCGGGACCAAGAATCCTGAATTAACCGGGACCGGGATCATAAATCAGCATTTGACTGGGACCGCGACCGGGATGAAAAATGTGACTTGACCCGGTTGACCGGGAACGGGATAGCTCAAAATTGCCAATCCCGGTCACCTCCTGGTTTACAATGAGTGCGCATCACGATATTTTCGACAGTTAACCTCATAAAAAGAGATAGAAGCTAAATTTAAAAAATCTCAGGAACATGTGTTTCAAATTTGAGCTGAAACGGATGAAAGCTCTAGGAGAAGATAGATTTTAAAGGAGTTTTCAGGGGAGCCAAAAGACTGATTTTTAAGAAATTAATATGTTAATCTCAATTTTTCAAAAAAATATAGGGCATACAATAGTTTTGTTGACGTTGGACGGCCAATTGGTACCCATGGATAAGTTTAACTTATGATGAGAGCAACAAAATGTTAAGAACCAGTTATTTGTGAGGGGGGGGTACCAATGGCATAAAATGGCATAAATGGCAAACGTTTTATGGCATAAATGGAAATTTTTATTGGCCAATTCTCCATTTATGCCATGAATTTAGGTCTTCATATTTGACTTTAAATTCGCAAATTATTATTAGTACTTGAATAAGAGACATGTTTCATGCTTTATAACGCTTGGAATGATTGTTAAAGATTCATATGACAAATAAAGAAAATAGAAATGTATTATATCAAAAATGGCATAAATGGCATACGTTTTATGGCATAAATGGAAATTTTTATTGGCCAATTCTCCATTATGCCATCTATGCCATTGGTACCCCCCCTTTGTGAGGTTAACTGATAAAATAGGCAATTATAGTTAACCTCAATTTTACGACAAACTAGGCGCTCTGGGGGGGGGGGGGGGGGGGGGGGGGGGGGGGGGGGGGGGGGGGGGGGGGGGGGGGGGGGCTAGGTGCGTCAGGTAGTACATGGTCTGCCAACTGGGGCGAACAAATTTTTTGGCATCGGCCTCGGACAACCCGCCCCCCCCCCCCCCCCCCCTCTGTGGCCTAAGTTGCAAGACATAGTCATACGGCTCCGATAAGTAGCGCTGACTGATCGGAGGAATATGGTTGTCATAATTTCAGACGTTTTATATTCTTCAAAGAACCGTATTTACCAACCTTTAGGTCAAACTTAAACAGCAGTTTAAGTTTAAGACCAACATTAAAAAATGACTTCCCTCCCTACTCAGACCGTAGCTTATTTTCAATAAACATCTACAAGTATAATACCAATATATATTATATATATATATATTAATAGTCAGCCACAACTATCAGTAAAACAACGCCTTGACTTTAAATGTCAGTAAAATTTACCTTTACAATTACAGTCATCCTCAAATTATTTGTTATATAGTAGTGTTGAAAGTATTAAAACTGTTGAAAGTATTTATAACTATATATATATTATATATATAAATATACATAGTTATAGTTTTCGAGCAACAGTCAACTCAATAAGAGTTAAACCATTAGATATTTAGTAACAATACATTTTTTACCTGCAGCCTAAAAATTAAATTTCCCACCACTCACCAGTCTCCAGTCGACTATCAATTTCATTTAAAAAATCGCTCGATCACGTATCATTATCAAGTTAACTTGAGATTTGTTTGGAGAGGCGAATCATACACAGTTTAGGCTCTTGAATTCTTCGAATAAAATATCATCTTTAGAGAACCTCCTCAAATTATTTGTTATATAGTAGTGTTGAAAGTATTAAAACCAAGTTTCAAGTTAATGTATTTTAAGTAATGAGTTAGATATTAATAGAAACGGAAAAGATTTGTCTGCTTTAATCAACTGTTAATGTTAAGTTATGACCCACAATAATTTTGTTTTATGATTATTTCTAATGTGATTATTTTGAAGATTATTTATATATTACTAGAAAGCCCGTGCCCCGTGATAACAGGGAGGAAGGTAATAGTATTCTTTGGTAGTCAGTTTTTATAGCATCAAAAAATATCCGTCACAACTAGGAACCGACCGGATATCCGGCTGAATCCAGATCTGGCCGGATATCCGGCTTCAATATCCGGTTCCGGCTCCGGCTCCAGTTTCAAAAAATTTGCCGGATTTTTGCCGGATATTTCTAAAATCTTGAAATGCGTATTTTTCGTCACATTTTAAATCGAATCCCTAAAATTCAAACAAATGTGACTTATAACTTATAAGTGCTGACTTTGAAAATCCAATAAAATATTTTCGGCTAATAATTAACAGGGTAGCATGAAACGTGGAGAAAAGTGGTTTTCAAAAAAACTTAGAAAAACTTTTGACTTATAGAAAATGTTCGGTCCATGTCATTCTCTATTCGTATCTCCTGTATCCTGGTATCGAGGGCTCCCGCTTCCGAGCTCGTGTTGCAAAGCTGGGAGGCCTGCCTTCCGAGATCGCATTACCAGGGGAAGCCTCGAGTCCAAAATTGAGTATCAAAGGGTCAAGGGTGGGTGCGGACTTTGAAAAACCAAAAAAATATTTTCGGCTAATAATGAACAGGGTAGAATGAAACGTGGAGAAAAGTGGTT